GCCCAAGTGGTTGGGACGGGAGAGGACCAGACGAACTTTAAATAGAGAAGACACCAGCAGCTTGAGAATAGGCACAGTTGATACAATGTAAGGGGTATCCACGGCGAGAGAGAGAGTTGTAAATAAATCTCAGAAACTGAGAGTTTCTGAGAGCGTAGAATGCGTAAAGCACGGAGGAAAATAGAGATGAAAACTCTCTTTCCTGCCCACCTAACCTACCAGAAGACCCTTAACTTACTGTTGTTGGAAAACAAATCCCAAATTTATTTTTATTTTTTTTTCATTTTCAAATTACGTCCATATTCGGCCATACGGGCAAACGGCCAAAAGCGACGTTCTTTTTAAGAGGACAGGTTGTCCATCAGTAACCCTCAGTTTCTTGATTCGGAAATTTCTTTTATTTACAAATCTTTCTCGCCGTGGATACCCCTTACATTAAATCAACTGTGCATCTTCTCAAGTTAAACGGAATTTCTTTCATCCCAAACCTATTTCCAACACCAGTACTACTGTGCTCTGCCTTCCCTACATATCTGAACTCAAATATCTTACTAATACCCTTCGTCCTCTTGACATAAAGGCTCGGGTTTTCTTCCTATTGGGGAGTGTTGTACATGCTGCTATGGCGGTGTGTCCACTCACAAGATGAGTGGCGCTGCCCAATAAACTCGCCCCTCGGGGCAAAATTTAAAAAAAAATTAAGCTCGCCTTTCGACAAAGGTGAGGTTAGTAATCTGGTTCACGCTTCTCCTCCCGCTTCTAATGCTGCTGGTGTTTACTCTATTTCCTGTTCGTCTTGTCCTCTCAAATATTTTGGCAATACTGGCCGTACACTAAGTAACAGACTTAAGGCACACAAAAGAAGTATTAAGTCTGCAGACTCAAACAATGCTCTCTTCTGTCATGTTAGGGATTCTAATCATCCTATTGATTGGTCTTCTAAAATAATCTTTCCTGCCTCTACTCTACACAGACGCCGTCGTGTCGACACGGCTCTGATACCCAACATGAACCTGAGATTCATGAGTGGATTTGTTCATTTGATGCATCACGTTAGTGTGATCTCTGTGTGTGATGAACCTGAGTCCTGGTTGTTCCTGGTTGTGTTGCTGTTGACGCTTCCCTTTCTCAGTATATACTCAAATGCTCCAACCTTCTTAATAAGCGTGATCTGACATAAGCCTATCCATCCTTTTTCTTACCCACACTTATTTTTCTTCCCATTATTCGTACACTCCTCCCATTCGTACCTTTCATCCTATTCTTACCTTTCACCTTCCTCATACCTTCTTCTAGAAATCATCTTCTCTTACCTGCTCCTCACCACACTATTTATTTGCCCGTTCCTTTCTTTCTTCCGGAGATCACACAGTTACAGCCCCGCTCCTGTGTCAGGTAAGTCCACTACGGGCTCACCATAGCCCGTGCTACTTCGAACTTTTTGTTCCCAGTAGCTGAATCTAAAACAACAACAACAACATTCCCTCTTGCTCACACGGCTCGATAGTGGTCCAGGACGGACCAAAACGCCATCGTCTCTCCACCTTCTGATGTGTGAGTTGGTCATCCCACAAGCCAGGGTGCCCAAGATGGCGGTGTCAACAACCAGAAGAGAGAGGCATCAAGCCAGGGTGCCCAAGATGGCGGTGTCAACAACCAGAAGAGAGAGGCATCAAGCCAGGGTGCCCAAGATGGCGGTGTCAACAACCAGAAGAGAGAGGCATCAAGCCAGGGTGCCCAAGATGGCGGTGTCAACAACCAGAAGAGAGAGGCATCAAGCCAGGGTGTCCAAGATGGCGGTGTCAACAACCAGAAGAGAGAGGCATCAAGCCAGGGTGTCCAAGATGGCGGTGTCAACAACCAGAAGAGAGAGGTATCAAGCCAGGGTGCCCAAGATGGCGGTGTCAACAACCAGAAGAGAGAGGTATCAAGCCAGGGAGCCCAAGATGGCGGTGTCAACAACCAGAAGAGAGAGGCATCAAGCCAGGGAGCCCAAGATGGCGGTGTCAACAACCAGAAGAGAGAAGCATCAAGCTAGGGTGCCCAAGATGGCGGTGTCAACAACCAGAAGAGAGGCATCAAGCCAGGGTGCCCAAGATGGCGGTGTCAACAACCAGAAGAGAGAGGCATCAAGCCAGGGTGCCCAAGATGGTGGTGTCAACAACCAGAAGAGAGAGGCATCAAGCCAGGGTGTCCAAGATGGCGGTGTCAACAACCAGAAGAGAGAAGCATCAAGCCAGGGTGTCCAAGATGGCGGTGTCAACAACCAGAAGAGAGAAGCATCAAGCCAGGGTGTCCAAGATGGCGGTGTCAACAACCAGAAGAGAGAAGCATCAAGCCAGGGTGTCCAAGATGGCGGTGTCAACAACCAGAAGAGAGGCATCAAGCCAGGGAGCCCTGGACGAGTCAACAAAGATAAGGGAACAAGTGTAAATATCACAAGAGGAGAGTACAAACAGCTGATGTGATTTGGTAAACATGGATGGAGTTCACCTACTTAACTACCTACCTACCTACCTCCTTACCTACCTACCTACCTACCTCCTTACCTACATACCTACCTACCTCCTTACCTACATACCTACCTACCTCCTGGCCTACATACCTACCTACCTCCTACCTACCTACCTACCTACCTCCTTACCTACCTACCTACCTACCTCCTTACCTACATACCTACCTACCTCCTTACCTACATACCTACCTACCTATCTAACTACCTACATACCTACCTACCTTCCTACTTTCCTACCTATTTATCCCCCTCCCCAACAGAGAGGCAGGCGACACCACCTGCCTCCCCCTCTAACAGAGAAAGGCAAGAGCCATCTCCTCCCTACCTACCCAAAACAGAAATTGAAATTGAAATTGAAATAAGTTTATTGAGGTAAAATACACACAAAGGGATGAGGTAGCTCAAGCTATTCTCACCCCGTTCAGTACATCGTGTTAATACATACATATAAACACATCACAAACAATAAACATATTACCAAACATTCTGAGAGATAAACATCTACATTTCCACCTTTACACAAGTAGTATGGTACCAGACGTACACAAATACTTTTATGACCGAGGTATACTGTATAGACAATTTGCAAGAGACATTCAACAAAAAATTACAGTCTTGTTGCAAAATTCTTATATCTCTCAAGAATGTCATCAACCTTTCCGTTGTGACACATCCAGGCTATTTGTTCAGGAACAGTCCTTATCTCAGTGTTTCTATATACATTAATCAACGGACAATCAAGAACATAATGGGCAAGGGTGTGAGACCTTAACATACCACATAGTTTACACTTCGTGTCATTATCATGAACACCTATCCCATAATCCCAGTAATATTTGTACCCAAGCCTGAGCTGCATGTACACAGAGTCACTCCAAGCATTTCTCCTTTTACCATAAGTGAAATGGGTGTTTTGACTCACATACATGTAGTGTTGCATGGTTTGACTTCTCTCATACATTATCTCTCTTCTCCACTCCTGCCTGTGCCTGAATATTTCTGATTTTGCTTCTTATTTGTCTCATTGTGAATTCACATTCAATGTCAGTTTGTGGTTTTGATGTGGCACGTTTGGCCAAGTCATCCGCCACCTCGTTGAGCACTATTCCAACATGAGATGGAATCCACATGAATTTAAAATAATATAATAATAATAATTTTTATTTAGGTAAAGGTACATACATAAAGAGATTTTACAAAGTTTGTTGGCTTTATAGATAAGAGCTAGTACATACAATGCCTAAAGCCACTATTACGCAAAGCGTTTCGGGCAGGAATTTCACACTATGACCTTTCAGCTGTATCTCAGTTATCCTTTTCTTACAATCCTCAACTATGGACATGAAGACTGGGTTTCGACTGTTTAAGGAATCAAGTGCTCCTCGGCTATCGACAAATACAAAAACATTTTTGTCGTCATGACGTACTTCCTCCAAACACGCCAGAATGGCCTGCAGTTCAGCTTGTGTGGATGATATATAATTACTAAGCCGGAGTTCAATTATCCTGTCCACAGTCCCAAACTTCGTATATTCCCTTATTAGGACACCACACCCTGCCCTGCCATCCTCCGCCACCGACCCGTCACAATATACATGTAAACTGTTGCCTCTTGGTAACCGAGATATCATGCTTCAATACAAACACCGTAATTGTCCCTGTTCATGATGAACCTTTTTCACCTTGAGGGGTACAATTTCGACGTCTATTTTCTGTACTTTCCAGGGAGCAGACATATTACACTGGTAAGAGGGTTTGCAGCAGTCAAGTACATCGTATTCCCTGAGGTCATGAGCTAATCCCCTCGTGTAGCGTGTCTCCCTTAGTTTCCTGGAAGTGTGTACGTCACTCAAGCAGGTCTGAACGCTCTGAAACAGCTTATCCCCTCCTTTTCTCCGCATGAAGCGAATAGATACTCTAGTGTTAATGTCACGGACTCTATCATACACACTCTGTAAATTTAATTCCATTCTCATTATTTCAATCATTGCATTTCTTTGACATCCAAGAATAATCCTCATAGCCTCGTTCTGTATCAGCTCTATTTTTTTAATTCTGCCTCGTCCTGTGTAAGACAATACGGGTGCTGCGTAGTCTATCAGGGACCGAACAGTACTTATGTATAACATCCGCAAGATAGGTACCCCAACACCTGCACCAGAAAAAGGAACAAAACAGAAAGGCAGGAGCCACTACCTCCCTCCCCAACAGGAAGGCAGGCAACAACACCACCACCTCCCTCCCTCCCCAACAGGAAGGCAGGCAACAACACCACCACCTCCCTCCCTCCCCAACAGGAAGGCAGGCAACAACACCACCACCTCCCTCCCTCCCCAACAGGAAGGCAGGCAACAACACCACCACCTCCCTCCCTCCCCAACAGAGGCCGCTCCAATATAGGACACACCAGTGCCCGCCCCACATCCCCCGGGCACCCCCAAGGGGTCCGCCTTCTCCCCCCATAGTGGAAACAAGGGTGCTTCAGTGGTGTAGCGAGGGCGGGAGGGAGGGCTTGTCACCAGTGTGGCGCCTGAGGCACCAGCAGCCAGGACGTCACTCGCCAGCTCTACAACACACAAGTCCCCCCTCAAGCACAGCAGGTGAGAGGTTCTCTTCCTTAACACCGTGCATCTGCAACCCGTCCTCTTAAAAATAACGTTGCTTTTCGCTCGTATGCGTGCTATGGCCAAAAGTGGACGTCATTTGAAATGAAATCCACTCACATAAAGTGACGTACTGTCCCGTTTTCTGTTTGAGTGAAGGCACTGGGCAGCGACACTCATCCTGTGAGTGAACGCACCGCCCTGTACTTCATAGCAACACAACCCTTCTGCGTTGTTCGTCCTATTAATGAACATACCGCCATACGAAGACAACAACAGCTGAGTTGTTCCTCCTGGGACTTGTACCCAGGACGAACGTATCTTGCCGCAAAGTTTCTTTTTGGAATTATCTCTTACGTAACTCTCCTAACACCCACATCTGTTACCTAACTCTCCTAACACCCACATCTGTTACTTAACTCTCCTAACACCCACATCTGTTACTTAACTCTCCTAACACCCACATCTGTTACTTAACTCTCCTAACACCCACATCTGTTACTTAACTCTCCTAACACACACATCTGTTACATAACCCTCCTAACACCCCACATCTGTTACTTAACCTTCCTGACACCCCACATCTGTTACATAACCCTCCTAACACCCCCACATCTGTTACTTAACCCTCCTGACACCCCACATCTGTTACATAACCCTCCTAACACACACATCTGTTACATAACCCTCCTAACACACACATCTGTTACATAACTCTCCTAACACCCCACATCTGTTACATAACCCTCCTAACACCCCACATCTGTTACATAACCCTCCTAACACCCCACATCTGTTACATAACCCTCCTAACACCCCACATCTGTTACTTAACCCTCCTAACACCCCACATCTGTTACATGACCCTCCTAACACACCCACATCTGTTTAATAACCCTCCTAACACCCCACATCTGTTACATAACCCTCCTGACACCCCACATCTGTTACATACCCCCTCCTAACACCCCACATCTGTTACTTAACCCTCCTGACACCCCACATCTGTTACATAACCCTCCTAACACCCCCTGTTACATCTGTCTGTTACATGACCCTCCTAACCTCTGTTACATAACCCTCCTAACACCCCACATCTGTTACATAACCCTCCTAACACCCCCACATCTGTTACTTAACCCTCCTGACACCCCACATCTGTTACATAACCCTCCTAACACCCCCACATCTGTTACTTAACCTTCCTGACACCCCACATCTGTTACATAACCCTCCTAACACCCACATCTGTTACATAACCCTCCTGACACCCCACATCTGTTACTTAACCCTCCTGACACCCCACATCTGTTACATGACCCTCCTAACACACCCACATCTGTTACATAACCCTCCTAACACCCCCACATCTGTCACTTAACCCTCCTAACACCCACATCTGTTACATGACTCTCCTAACACCCCACATCTGTTACTTAACTCTCCTAACACCCACATCTGTTACATGACCCTCCTAACACCCACATCTGATTGTTGGTTCGAGTCACCTCATTGCTCCAGTTGTTTTTATCAGTGTTATGTGTGTCATGAGCCTCTCTTCCAGGCGAAGTGGTTTTCCAGGCACACAAGAACCATTCCCTCACTAACTGGATGTGAGAATGGGTGCTGTCGGCACATCACATATATTAAACTTTAGATATTCATGATGGGCTGAAAGCATATTACTGTTCAATAATAGTCTTCTTCTAAAGTAGCAAGTGAACCTTTGGTTTAAACAGATAATATTCCCAAGTTATAACTTTATTGTATTGCAAATCGTTGGTTTGAAATATAAAAAGTTTATGCTTAACTCGTTTTTTTTTAAACGGAGTGAAGAATTTTTTTAAGGTCAATGAAATTGTAGGGATATTCAAATAGTTTTTGAATCTCGTAATACACATTTTTGAAAATAATAAACCATATTAATGTAACCAAATATAATGAAACCTAACCTATCCTAGCCTAACCTTAACCTAACCTAACAATGAATAGGGAGTAGATAATAGCATTAATTACGTAGTGGTTTTAAAGTGATTACCTCCAGAGGCACCGCCTCCCTTAGTATAGCCAGATCTTATACACTAGACATCTGTACGGAACAATGTTCCTCTTGTAGCTCTATGGGTATCTTTCAGCTATGAGTGCGTCGGCTCCTCCATCCTCGCCAGCGAGGGCGCCCCGCCTAGTGCTGGTGTTGGTGGCGTGGGCGTGCGTGTGGGGCGGCGTGGTGGGCGTGGGGTGGGAGGCGTGTGAAGGTCCCGTGTGTTTGGAGGTGAGACGACAAGCTGAGGGCCTCGCAAGACTCAAGTTCCTCAGGAATTACATTAATCAGACGGTGAGTCTTCTCTCTCGGACCTCTCGGGTTCTGTTATTGCTGCCCACCATACTCGGCGAGATTAATGTCTCCGTGTTTCTGTCTTAAGTCTTCATCTTGTGTACAATGCCAGCTTTCTCCGGGTCATGTCATAGGGCCATTCTCTCAGGCTTCTGCCATAGGGCCATTCTCTCAGGCTTCTGCCATAGGGCCATTCTCTCAGGCTTCTGCCATAGGGCCATTCTCTCAGGCTTCTGCCATAGGGCCATTCTCTCAGGCTTCTGCCATAGGGCCATTCTCTCAGGCTTCTGCCATAGGGCCATTCTCTCAGGCTTCTGCCATAGGGCCATTCTCTCAGGCTTCTGCCATAGGGCCATTCTCTCAGGCTTCTGGCAGAGTGCCATTCTCTCAGGCTTCTGCCATAGGGCCATTCTCTCAGGCTTCTGCCATAGGGCCATTCTCTCAGGCTTCTGCCATAGGGCCATTCTCTCAGGCTTCTGGCAGAGTGCCATTCTCTCAGGCTTCTGCCATAGGGTCATTCTCTCAGGCTTCTGCCATAGGGCCATTCTCTCAGGCTTCTGCCATAGGGCCATTCTCTCAGGCTTCTGCCATAGGGCCATTCTCTCAGGCTTCTGCCATAGGGCCATTCTCTCAGGCTTCTGCCATAGGGCCATTCTCTCAGGCTTCTGCCATAGGGCCATTCTCTCAGGCTTCTGCCATAGGGCCATTCTCTCAGGCTTCTGCCATAGGGCCATTCTCTCAGGCTTCTGGCAGAGTGCCATTCTCTCAGGCTTCTGGCAGAGTGCCATTCTCTCAGGCTTCTGCCACAGTGCCACTCTCTCAGATCGCTGTCACAGTGCCATTCTCTCAGACCACATCCTCACGTGTATCTCCCCTCACCTCATCTCCTGCACTGATACACACCTCACCCATGGGATGTATCACCACTTACCCAAGCTTCATCAAGCATTTAAGCAACTACTGACGAAGCCTGTACATCTTTCACCAATCATGGCGGCTGTGTTTACATTCATTAAACCGTTTACGAACTTGGAAACCTCACAACCCCCAAGGTTATAAACAACACCGTAAGGTTATTACCACCCAGAGGGGTTGTTTGTTGAGCAGCGGCACTCATGCTGTCAGTGAACATGCCGCCAAAGCAGCATATACAGTAAGTATTTTTGTGCTCATAAACTTTTTAATAAATTTAGACCAAAACGCCATGACTGTAGTAAGATGTACTGGTTTCGTGGTGGCGTAAATGCTTGGTGAATCCTGGTTCTTCCTATCACAAACTAAACCAATCAATGAAATATTTGACTTCCTCTCATTAAATTTATTTATTTATATAAGAAGGTATATTAAGTTGAGAAAGTGCATACACTGAGTCTGAGTGTAAGATTTTTGCAAATTCGCTAATACGCGCACAGCGTTGTCCACAGGTCCTTAAGCTAAATTATAAAGGTCACAGAATTTGAGTTCAACATAATAACTACATTGCAAATTGATAGACTAGATTATATTGATGAAGTTGCATGTCTTAAGTACTAAATCGGGTGAGTGGGGCAGCACAAGGTGGTGGGAAAGTAAATGGATGAAATTAGGTACTTTTTGGTTTTACTTTTGAATTATGTATAGGCTGAGCAATTGTTTAATTCATTAGGGAGTGAGTTCCATAAACAGGGTCCTGTTATTCTTATGGAATGTTTGCACAGATTTAGTCTGACTCTCGGAATACTGAAGAATATATTTATTTATGATGTGGTGCCCAGGGGTTCTAGTACATCTATCAAGGAAAAGTTTCAGATAAGGATTAGAATCAATGGAACAAAAGAATAAGGTTTTGTATGTGTAAACAGCACAAGAGAATGTGTGGAGTGTATGTTTAGCATGTTGAGGGATTTAAAGAGAGGGGCTGTGTGTGTTGTTTCAAGACAGAGTTTGTTATTGTTCTGATAGCATATTTTTGCTGGGTGATGATGGTGGTTGAGCCCGACCATTGTAATGGTTTGGCTCAACCATTTCAGTGGTTGAGCTCTATGCACAGACACCGTATGGTAGACAGGGATAGATTAGCGAGTAATACAGTGTAAGAGTGCAGAACATAATATCGATTACTTAGAGCACTGTACGCCAACAGTTTTGGAAATTTTTTGGGCTCTGTGTTGTACATGAGAACTAAAGTTTTGTCTTTTGCATATGTATAGACTAAGGAACCTTCCCTCATGTTTAATGAAGGTTCATATGGTTTGAGATTTGCTCCCAAATAAGATGTGGTAGGTCTTTTTCATATTTAGGGTGAGTTTGTTGGTTGACGTCTGTTGAGTGGCCATTTTTTAATTAGTTATTTTCGATATTATTTAGAGTATGTGGGTTGTGGTTTGAGCTGATGAAGATAAAGTCGTCAACACATAGTATAGGTTTAAGAACATTGGAGACATTTGGCAAGTCACTGATTTATATCAGAAAAATGAGAGGTTCCAGGACGCTGCCCTGTGGCACTCCTGCAGTTAATGGTAGAGTGAGAGAGGTTATATCATTGATGGCTACATGTTGATGTCTGTTATTAACATATGATCGAATATGGTTCCCATTAGCCTCTAGACATACTTTCCCTACCAACACTTCACTTCACTTCCTCATCGCTCGTCTCCTTCTCCAGTTCTCTGCTCTTTTTCCAATATATATTTTTGTCTGGCAAACAAACCACTGGTTGTCTTTCATTTTTATCTTGTGGTAAGTCTTTTCTATATTTACCTTCTCATGTTGTCTGTTTACCTCATCATGTGGCCGGCTTCCCTTCTCATGTTGTCTGTTTACCTCATCATGTGGCCTGCTTCCCTTCTCATGTTGTCTGTTTACCTCATCATGTGGCCGGCTTCCCTTCTCATGTTGTCTGTTTACCTCATGTGGCCGGCTTCCCTTCTCATGTTGTCTGTTTACCTCATCATGTGGCCGGCTTCCCTTCTCATGTTGTCTGTTTACCTCATCATGTGGCCGGCTTCCCTTCTCATGTTGTCTGTTTACCTCATCATGTGGCCGGCTTCCCTTCTCATGTTGTCTGTTTACCTCATGTGGCCGGCTTCCCTTCTCATGTTGTCTGTTTACCTCATCATGTGGCCGGCTTCCCTTCTCATGTTGTCTGTTTACCTCATCATGTGGCCTGCTTCCCTTCTCATGTTGTCTGTTTACCTCATCATGTGGCCGGCTTCCCTTCTCATGTTGTCTGTTTACCTCATGTGGCCGGCTTCCCTTCTCATGTTGTCTGTTTACCTCATCATGTGGCCTGCTTCCCTTCTCATGTTGTCTGTTTACCTCATCATGTGGCCGGCTTCCCTTCTCATGCTGTATGTTTACCTCATCATGTGGCCGGCTTCCCTTCTCATGTTGTCTGTTTACCTCATCATGTGGCCTGCTTCCCTTCTCATGTTGTCTGTTTACCTCATCATGTGGCCTGCTTCCCTTCTCATGTTGTCTGTTTACCTCATCATGTGGCCTGCTTCCCTTCTCATGTTGTCTGTTTACCTCATCATGTGGCCGGCTTCCCTTCTCATGTTGTCTGTTTACCTCATCATGTGGCCGGCTTCCCTTCTCATGTTGTCTGTTTACCTCATGTGGCCGGCTTCCCTTCTCATGTTGTCTGTTTACCTCATCATGTGGCCTGCTTCCCTTCTCATGTTGTCTGTTTACCTCATCATGTGGCCTGCTTCCCTTCTCATGTTGTCTGTTTACCTCATCATGTGGCCTGCTTCCCTTCTCATGTTGTCTGTTTACCTCATCATGTGGCCGGCTTCCCTTCTCATGTTGTCTGTTTACCTCATCATGTGGCCGGCTTCCCTTCTCATGTTGTCTGTTTACCTCATCATGTGGCCTGCTTCCCTTCTCATGTTGTCTGTTTACCTCATCATGTGGCCTGCTTCCCTTCTCATGTTGTCTGTTTACCTCATCATGTGGCCTGCTTCCCTTCTCATGTTGTCTGTTTACCTCATCATGTGGCCGGCTTCCCTTCTCATGTTGTCTGTTTACCTCATCATGTGGCCGGCTTCCCTTCTCATGTTGTCTGTTTACCTCATGTGGCCGGCTTCCCTTCTCATGTTGTCTGTTTACCTCATCATGTGGCCTGCTTCCCTTCTCATGTTGTCTGTTTACCTCATCATGTGGCCGGCTTCCCTTCTCATGTTGTCTGTTTACCTCATCATGTGGCCGGCTTCCCTTCTCATGTTGTCTGTTTACCTCATCATGTGGCCTGCTTCCCTTCTCATGTTGTCTGTTTACCTCATCATGTGGCCTGCTTCCCTTCTCATGTTGTCTGTTTACCTCATCATGTGGCCTGCTTCCCTTCTCATGTTGTCTGTTTACCTCATCATGTGGCCGGCTTCCCTTCTCATGTTGTCTGTTTACCTCATCATGTGGCCTGCTTCCCTTCTCATGTTGTCTGTTTACCTCATCATGTGGCCTGCTTCCCTTCTCATGTTGTCTGTTTACCTCATCATGTGGCCGGCTTCCCTTCTCATGTTGTCTGTTTACCTCATCATGTGGCCGGCTTCCCTTCTCATGTTGTCTGTTTACCTCATCATGTGGCCTGCTTCCCTTCTCATGTTGTCTGTTTACCTCATCATGTGGCCGGCTTCCCTTCTCATGTTGTCTGTTTACCTCATCATGTGGCCGGCTTCCCTTCTCATGTTGTCTGTTTACCTCATCATGTGGCCTGCTTCCCTTCTCATGTTGTCTGTTTACCTCATCATGTGGCCGGCTTCCCTTCTCATGTTGTCTGTTTACCTCATCATGTGGCCTGCTTCCCTTCTCATGTTGTCTGTTTACCTCATCATGTGGCCTGCTTCCCTTCTCATGTTGTCTGTTTACCTCATCATGTGGCCGGCTTCCCTTCTCATGTTGTCTGTTTACCTCATCATGTGGCCGGCTTCCCTTCTCATGTTGTCTGTTTACCTCATCATGTGGCCGGCTTCCCTTCTCATGTTGTCTGTTTACCTCATCATGTGGCCGGCTTCCCTTCTCATGTTGCCTGTTTACCTCATCATGTGGCCGGCTTCCCTTCTCATGTTATCTGTTTACCTCATTATGTGGCCGGCTTCCCTTCTCATGTTGCCTGTTTACCTCATCATGTGGCCTGCTTCCCTTCCCCCATAGCCTGTTTACATTGTCCTACCTGGGCCAGCTGCTAATATGGCATTAGGGGTGGACCAGTGTAAGTACTCGTGCAGGAACCTAATCAGTGCCAGGGAGACCTGGACAGTGCCAGTGCCAGGGAGACCTGGACAGTGCCAGTCACTCCCTGACACGGCAGCGACACCCCCCATGCTATACGTGGCAACGTGCTGACCCGGTGTGACCTCTGTGTGACCAGGTGAACATGATGAACACGCTGGTGAGCACTCTGGAGGAGGAGCTGGTCAAGACCGGCGAGGGGCTGGCGCAGTTCATTGGCCCGCGGTGCCCGGCCGCTCACCCACTCCTGCTCGAGGTCACTAAGGTCAGCAACCTTCACTTGTTTACACACACACACACACACACACTTCTCTGCTGTGTGTGTGTGTGTGTGTGTGTGTGTGTGTGTGTGTGTGTGTGTGTGTGTGTGTGTGTGTGTGTGTGTGTGTGTGTGTGTGTGTGTGTGTGTGTGTGTGTGTGTGTGTGTATCGGAACCGAGGGTTGCGGGGCTTCTTGCTGGCGCGGGGATCAAACTTTCGCTGACTTTGGCGACATCGATCTGTCGTCATGGTAATACGGGGGCACACAAACATGGTAATACGGGGGCACACAAACATGATAATACGGGGTCACACAAACATGGTAATACGGGGTCACACAAACAAGGTAATACGGGGTCACAAACATGATAATACGGGGCCTCAAACAAGGTAGTACGGGCCACACAAACATCGTAAGACGGGGTACACAAACAAGGTAATACGGGGGCACCCAAACAAGGTAATACGGGGCACACAAACATGGTAATACGGGGGCACACAAACAAGGTAATACGGGGCACACAAACATGGTAATACGGGGCCACACAAACAAGGTAATACGGGGCACACAAACATCGTAAGACGGGGTACACAAACAAGGTAATACGGGGACACCCAAACAAGGTAATACGGGGCACACAAACAAGGTAATACGGGGGCACCCAAACAAGGTAATACGGGGCACACAAACATGGTAATACGGGGGCACACAAACAAGGTAATACGGGGGCACACAAACATGGTAGTATGGGGTACACAAACAAGGTAATACGGGGGCACACAAACATGGTAGTATGGGGTACACAAACAAGGTAATACGGGGCACACAAACATGGTAGTATGGGGTACACAAACAAGGTAATACGGGGGCACACAAACATGGTAGTATGGGGTACACAAACAAGGTAATACGGGGGCACACAAACATGGTAGTATGGGGTACACAAACAAGGTAATACGGGGGCACACAAACAAGGTAATACGGGGGCACACAAACATGGTAGTATGGGGCACACAAACAAGGTAATACGGGGGCACACAAACACGATAATACGGGGGCACACAAACACGATAATACGGGGGTGAACAAACATAAAATAAAATTCTATGACAAAACATTGATACGGTAATAAACAACATAAGTAATAATATACAATATATATTCAATAAATAATAATAAACAATAATACAAATAATAATAATCATAATAATTAAACTAATAAAAAAGTGCAAAATACTAATGAAAGCTAAATAACATTACAAATAATATCCACACTAATACTGAGCCTCCACCCACTGGATGTGTGCGGCCGACACCTGCGGCGCGCAGCCCGCGGACACCAGCAATCCCGCCCTCGCTGACCAGGACAACGTCATCACTGACAGCGACGAGGACTACGACCCACACAGCAGTCCCCCTCCATCAGAGGTGAGCTCCTCGTCCACTTCTTTCTTTAACCCTTTGTACTGGTCGGTACAGTAGAAGCCTTGTATCTTACAAGGTCGGCGTTCGATCCCCGATGGTTCAAATGATTGGGCGCAGTTTTTTTTTCACTCCTTCCTCGTGTGCCAGACCTTTGTCCTCGTATTATTTAATCTTATATTTTCTTTGTTCTTTATCGAGGTTCCTTCTAACCAACGACCGGTCCATCCAACAGGATGCAACCCACAACAGCCGTCTTAACTCCTAAGTGCACATTTTCTGGTAGGCGAAAAGAGGTATTGGAAGTAAGGAGACGTGACCACACACGTCTCCCCCTGTTCGGGAATCGAAACCAGGTTCCTTCCACCTCTCTCCAAATACGTAATATCAAAAGAGGCACTAAGTTGGGAGCGGCTGTTCTTGTTCAGCCAAGAACGTTCTAATATTCTTCTAATATTCTTCTATATTCTTCTAATACTCTTCTAATATTCCAAAATTATAAAGTTCTAAAAGGTTCTAAGGTTCTAAAAAGTTCTAATGCTTTAAGATTAACTGCCATGAACACCAATATACAAGTTTTGGATTTTCTTTTCTTTGGATTTTGGTCAGGAAAACATTTGTAATTTGCTTCCTTACTCGCCTTTCCAGAGAGAGAGGCTGGATGCTGCTGGGTCCGAGTCGCAGTACTGGCAAGCCGCCGGTTCCTCCTCTCACACCAACTTGCAAGGGTACGTTCAACTCTCCAACATCATCAGCAATGATGAAAAAATCCCCTTTCTGTTTCTTGCCTATTACAATGTATTTAAAACCGACAGACAACATTCTCTTGTGACTTGCCGTTTTGTTTATGTTTTTGTGAGTGTTACCGCCATTGTTTCATCTCTTGCTAGCATCATCACTTGCCACTATCATCACTTGCTACCATCATCTCTTTGTAGCCTCATCTCTTGTTACCATCATCTCTTGGTAGCCTCATCTCTTGCCAGCATCATCCCTAGAGAGAATCGCATTAAGGCACATACTTTCCTTCTCTTATGAAGTGTTTGCCAGTGTGCTTAGAAGAGTACTAGAGTCGTGGAGGATTGCTAGTGTGGTTCCTATTTTTAAGAAGAAAAGTAGATCACTTACGTTAACCTATCGTCCAAATTGCTTAACGTATGTTGTAGGAAAATTGCTTGACTCGATAATCACGAAAACCAATCGTTTACATCATTCACAACATGGTTTTACTAAGAGCCATTACTGTTTAATAAATTAACATTAATGAGTTTCCAGCATATTTCAAATAGCTGATAGTGGAAAGGAATGCGACATTCTAGAGCTTAAATTAAACCAGGGTTTTGATACTGTGCCTTGCGAGACTCGCTCAAAGGTTAGTGGCCCGTTGTATCGGGGAGCCTGTCTTAAGATGGTTTAGAGTTTGAGTATTTAAAAAAAGCAGCGAGTTAGTAAAAATGAATTTATGTTTGAGTGAAAGAGTGTTGGAAGTGGTGTGCCCCCAGTGCTCTGTTCAGAGACCTCTGTTGTACAAAATGTATCTAAATGATTTAGACAAAGGATTGAAAAGCAACATTTGCAAATTTACAGATGAAACGAAAATAGGGCGAGAAATATATTCAGAAAGATACAAAATTGCAACAAGACCATCCAGATAGGCTTTTAAAATAGACGAAAGATTGATAGATGAAGTTTAATGCTGACAAGTGTAGGGTTAGGTAACAATAAGGGTTCCCAGATATCAGCCGGACAATGTTGAAATTGCCAAGTGTGAATACGAGAAAGATCTAAGAGTCATGTTTTAGCAGGGATCATAAGCCAAAGCTTTAATGTATAACCTAAACACTGTACATATATTGTATCATAACACACTGAAAAATAAATCATAGTGATTGACTTTAATTTTGAATGTAGTAGAGAATTCATAAACACGAACTATAAATTACCAAGATATAAATAACTAATTTCCCTCTGAGTTGAAACATCGAAAATAATAGTTGTCCATTAGTTCTATAATGGTAATCATTACTGTAACATGATTAGATATATAAACCTCCATAAATACGCATACAAAGAACTTAATATATATTAAGAAAATAAGTGTTGTTGTCATCGCATTGGAGTGAGATAACAAGGTCACTCTTGCCTCACTGGCCCACCCCTTACTTACCACTCTTGTGTGTTCAGACACAGAAATTAGTCACGTAACCTGTCAAGATTGCGTGACTAATCCTAAATATCTAATGAAAGGAAATAATACAAATAGAATAAGCCTGTATATTAAGAAATATATGAAGAAAATAGAGGAGTTAACATTAGGTGGCAACAATATCAGTGCAGTCCTACAACCAGCTGCCTTCACTCCCCCAGAGGGCTTGGAGAATTTGGGAGGAGGAAGAAGGATGAGGAGTTTAAATTCTTGAAGAGGATGCGGATGTGGAACGAGGAGGGTAAAAAGTTCGGTGGCCTATCCACCGTAGGTTGGCGTCGAGTGTAATTCTTGGTTATTGATCTTGGTTTTGCTGTTCCGACATGTCCTTGAGCGGTGTGGAAAATTGTTTGCACACATACGTATGTGTTGACCCTTCAAGTATTGCTTGAAGGGTCTGTGCCAGGGCTTGAGGTGAGATGGAGAGTAGCTTGTTGAGTAGGCGATGGGTAGAATCGCCTCAGTCTTGGTTCTTCAGCTGACTTCTTTCTTCAGGCTTCGTTCTTCTGCTGCAGGTGAATGTTAACATGTTATGTCTTGTCGCACTTTTGGGTCTTCTGATTTTTCCTCGACTGGGACTTGCTTCGAGTTGACATGGCTGTGCTGTCGTTGGAGTTTGGTGACGAAGCCTCCATGAGGAAGTCTTGTACGGAGTAGGTGTTGAATTGGTAGTTTGGCGATTGTGCTCCCACTGATATTTCCTCGTCTGAAGTGTCCGAAGCGTCGTCTGTAGCCAGTGGTTTTGTCTTCTGTCGCACAGCCTGGGATGGGCTCGGGTGTCGTAGTTTGGCGGTTGTGGCTACAACTGGAGCGCATCGTCCGAGATGATGATGGTAGAAGCGTTGGGAGCTGAAAGTGGAAGATGTTGCTGTTTGTGTAGTCTGGATTGAGACACCAGGCGTCTTTGTAGCCGTCCTTGTGGTAGTCCCTGTGGTAATAGGAGAGGCAGTGAGACTGGCTTCAGGGGCGATGATGGGGGTCCAAACCGTTAATTGGCAAGGTACAGGGTGTTGAGTTCCGTGACTAACCGGTGGTTATATAGGCCGGCGAGCTTCTCTGCTAGTCGAATGAGACAAGGTATAATGCCCTCGCGTAAGGCAAGGGGATGTGAGGGTGATGATTGGTCGTTGGTTCCCCATTGTGGAGGCCGGGTTGCCAAGTGGGTGGAGCCACTGTTTGGTAGGGCTGTCAAGGCGTCTGGTTGGTTGGTGGGAGCTGAGGTGCTGTGGCTGGTGCTGTAGGCGCCGACGGCGGAGATGGAAGGTTTGGCTTTTTTGGATGCACCCTAGTTCTTGATTTCTTGTCTGCGAGGGCAGCGGTGAGAAATCGCGGAGTGATCGCCTTTGCAGAGCAGGAAGCATCGGTTTTCTGACTTGCAGATTGAGTAGTGATGATCCTGGGCGCAAATGCTGCACTTCTGGACGGGATGCTGACACTTGTTGGTAGGGTGGGAGAACTCGCAGTATTTGAAGCACTGTTGAATCTCGTAGAAGCGTTCCTTCTTCATTTTGTAGGTTGGGATCTTGATGCCAAAGCAGTTGATTCCTCGATTGGTAGCCAGGCTAGCCGTATCTCTGGAGATGAAGATGGTGCTTCATGGATGAGCACCTGCCTTCGGTACGGCTGGCGTATGCCATTAGGTATAACAACGTGTCTGGGTTTTCATCCTCGATGTCAGGCCATGTCGTCCATGGCCTAATTCGTGATCCAGGGGCTGGTCTCGTTGATGAAAGACGGTCCGTTCTGCCAGGTACTGGTGTGGGTAGTCCAGGTGGAGTTGCGCCTGGATCAACTCCCCGGCGGCACCTTGAATTTTTTCGAGGTCTTCATTATTCGAGAAGTAGAGCGTTATTTTCACTCCTACTTGTCCGACGTCGATCGGTGTCATGTTGGCGAAGGTTTTGCAGACCTTCAGGAGGTTACTTTTGGTGAATGTGTGGTCGTCGAGGATGTTGGCCTTGACTTTGTGGCGCTACTCTGCCGTACACACAAAAAGACTTGGCTGTTACTCCCTCAATGGGTCGTAGTAACATTGGAAGAGTCTACCCTGTTCTTTTTATGGTTATGTTGCCTACACCAGCTGCCACCGACCAACCACCACCTCTAGCAACAACCACCACCACCGGCCATCTCCACCGTACAAAGCGATCACCATCAAAAGCAGGCAATATCACAAACAGTTAGGAGCCGTAAGGGGGCAAGATCTGAAATGTATTAACCAACAATCTAAAAATTTAGGAAAATATGTATACAAAATCCTTGCCTGCGGTAACATCATAGTGCAAACCATACAAATGTGTGTGGTTTGAAAAATTTGTTGATGACCTTAATAACCAAATTGAGAGCTGTCTCAGAGTTCCGCACCATACGAATGGGCGAAGTAACCCTCAAAAGATGAACATTCAATGGTATGAGAACGACTACATAAAGATGCTCAATACAAATGTAAGGGACATGAGTGGAGTACCGGAGACATCCCACTGAAAGTAACCAAGAGCTATTTAAAACTGTGGATCAAGTAGCAAGAGAGGAGAAGATTAAAGAGTGGGAAAGATAATGGCTTGACTTCACTAGTTCCACTGGAAGAGAAACATCTGCAAGACAAGTGGGGCGACAATTCAGATAGCTAAGGATGGGCAAAACCCGGCCTGCGGCTCACAAAGACCCGCAAGGGTAAGAACACTGCCAACTGGATGTTGAACTTTGCATTCAGACGGGTAGTGGTGAGTTTTGCTTCGACTATCTGTTTCAGTTCCCTCTGCCTCACTGGGCAGTCGGTCTTGGGAGACGGTGGTGTGGGCTTCCCCAGAGTTGATGCACTGTTCTGTGGTCGCCTGATACGTCTTGTAGTTGTGGTCCCGTGTTCATATGCTGCACTTGTTCGTATCAGAGGAAATTTCTGGATGAAGTGGTCGTATTTATAACATCTGCAGCATTGCCTCAGCTGTAAGAATCATTCCAACTTCACGAGGTCCAGTGTTATGGAGATACCGAGGCATCTGAAGCCGTTGGTGGCGGCTTGGGTCGCAGCTGCAGGGGAAGAGAAGGTGACCGTCATGGTCGGCCGTCTGGTGTCGTTGCGGATGATTGTTACTGTCACCGCAGTCAGGGCCGGGTTCAGGTAGTTGATGCTTTCTATGATATCGGTTTCCGTCTCGGTGGTGATGAATGTGTTAACTCTGCTTGTAAAGATTGAGTGGCAGGCCGTGTAGCGGCGCGACGGGGTGAGGAGGTCGGAGGCCTGCAGGGTGACAGGCCTCCGACCTCTATAGGTTGGTGAGTAGGGGGACAGGAGTTTCTCCACAGCCTCCACGCTTGTAAATAGTAGTTCAGCTGCACGGCTGTCCTCTCTGATGTCAACCGGGGCGGCGTTGGTTTTGATTGTTGCCGCCAGTGATTGTGGCGATCCTCTCTAGGATATGTCGTCGTGAGAGTAGCTGGTCTCCCTTTAAATCTCACTTTGATCTTATAGATCATGGCGACGGGTAGTTTCCACTGGAGATGTGAATAATCTCTAAGACCACCCGCTCAAGGAGGGTCGCAGTGGCGGGAGGGAATGAGAAAGCGGCCACAACACCTCCGAAGCCACCCCCCCCTTACCTTCGACGAGCGTCGAAGTGGCTGAGTGCGTGTGCTTCCTACCTCTACTGGAGCGTAGTATCTCTCCTTCTGTCTTATAAAGTTTGTGGAATGTGCATATTAGTTCTTTCTTAAACACTATAGATATTATTATAAATCATTTAATTTAATTAACTTAAACGTGATGAGTATGGACCGTAGATATTTATATAACTCACTTGAGACGAGGGTGGAGGATATCCTGTGGTGACGGGACGAGAGAGATCATACACGCCGCGGGCCGCCCTGTGACGCCACCAGGCGCTTACAGTAGCACCAGAACATGCTCAAAATGATATTCTGCGGTGTGATCGCTGATCTCTGGTGATGGTGACTGGTGGGGATTCGGCGAGGTGAAGCCCCCCGCCGGTGTACTCACCTAATTGTGCTTGCGGGGGTTGAGCTCTGGCTCTTAGGTCCCGCCTCTCAACCGTCAATCAACTGGTGTACAGATTCCTGAGCCTACTGGGCTCTATCGTATCTACATTTGAAACTGTGTATGGAGTCAGCCTCCACCACATCACTTCCTAATGCATTCCATTTACTAACTACTCTGACACTGAAAAAGTTCTTTCTAACGTCTCTGTGGCTCATTTGGGTACTCAGCTTCCACCTGTGTCCCCTTGTTCGCGTCCCACCAGTGTTGAATAGTTCATCCTTGTTTACCCGGTCGATTCCCCTGAGGATTTTGTAGGTTGTGATCATGTCCCCCCTTACTCTTCTGTCTTCCAGTGTCATAAGGTGCATTTCCCGCAGCCTTTCCTCATAACTCATGCCTCTTAGTTCTGGGACTAGTCTAGTAGCATACCTTTGGACTTTTTCCAGCTTCGTCTTGTGCTTGACAAGGTACGGGCTCCATGCTGGGGCCGCATACTCCAGGATTGGTCTTACATATGTGGTGTACAAGATTCTGAATGATTCCTTACACAGGTTCCTGAACGCCGTTCTGATGTTAGCCAGCCTCGCATATGCCGCAGACGTTATTCTCTTTATGTGGGCTTCAGGAGACAGGTTTGGTGTGATATCAACTCCTAGATCTTTCTCTCTGTCTGTTTCATTAAGTACTTCATCTCCTATTCTGTATCCTGTGCCTGGCCTCCTGTTTCCACTGCCTAGTTTCATTACTTTGCATTTACTCGGGTTGAACTTCAACAGCCATTTGTTGGACCATTCACTCAGTCTATCCAGGTCATCTTGTAGCCTCCTACTATCATCCTCTGTTTCAATCCTCCTCATAATTTTTGCATCGTCGGCAAACATTGAGAGGAACGAATCTATACCCTCTGGGAGATCATTTACATATACCAGAAACAGTATAGGTCCAAGGACTGACCCCTGCGGGACTCCACTTGTGACATCTCGCCAATCTGAGACCTCACCCCTCACACAGACTCGTTGTCTCCTGTTGCTTAGGTACTCCTCTATCCACCGGAGTACCTTCCCTCTCACTCCAGCCTGCATCTCCAACTTTCGCACTAGCCTCTTGTGTGGCACTGTATCAAAGGCTTTCTGACAATCCAAAAATATGCAGTCTGCCCACCCTTCTCTTTCTTGCCTTATTTTTGTTGCCTGGTCGTAGGTGGTCGTAGAGGTGTGTGGTGGTCCGGGCTCCCGGTGAGGTGAGGTGCCAGGGAAGCGTAAACAGATCAGCTGGGGAACATGGTAAGGCACAGTCCTACAGGGAAGACGTGAAGCTTTTACCTGCAAACTAAGTGGCGCGTTGGTGGGAGACTCGGTGAGGCTAAGACAGGTTAGGTTAGGTTGGAGATAGAATGTACAACCTAAGGACTAGACGAAGTGGGAACTCAAGCAAGCTGATCTCTCTCACTGAACCTATACAAAGTACCAGACGCTGGCTAATCAGGTGGACGCCTAAAAAGTACTTAATAGTCAGTTTTATCACTACTATATCCTCCATATAAATCTGCTATACTAATGCCAATCATCTTAGATATATTCTCCCGCAGAGTCAGTATTCAGCCATTTAAGAAACCTGTACATCTTTCCTCAATCATTATGACTGTGTTCACATTTATTCTGCAGTTTACGAGCTTCGAAATGTAACACTCTTAAGAGTATTTTCATTATAAACTATCTCGTGGTACTTCGAAGCTCATAAACTGGTTTATAAATGAAACAAAGCTATGGTGATTGAGGAAAGATGTGCAGGCTTCGTAAGTGGCTGTGTAAATACTTGATAAATCATTTGCGTCCTCATAATACTTGAGGATGACACAAATGATATCTAAGTTATAAAGATATTTTTTCCTCGTGTTCAGGTCAGGAGGCGGGTCTGGGAAAACTCTCACTGGACAAAAAGTCACAAGCAGCGGTATTAAAACTGACAAAAGCAGCAGCAGCAGCACTAGCACCAGCACCACCAGCAGCAGCAGAGTAACCAGCAGCAGCAGCAGCAGCGTCGACAGTGGCCCGGCGACTACAAACAAATTTAATACCATCGGTGGCCAGGAGCCCAGCAGGCCATCTCACAAGACGACCGCCGCCAGTCATATCAGTGTGTCCGTGGCGCCCAGCAGTCAAGAAGAAGACAGCAGTGAGGACACCCAGGACATCTTGGGCCTCGGTGGGGTTGGCCATGAGAACTTGGGCCACAGTGGATCTGACCGGGGCAACTTGGGCCACGGTGGATCTGACCGGGGCAACTTGGGCCACGGTGGATCTGACCGGGGCAACTTGGGCCCCAGTGGGGCTGGACGGGGTAACTTGGGCCCCAGTGGGGCTGGACGGGGTAACTTGGGCCACGGTGGAGCTGGACGGGGACTCTTAGGGCCTGGTGGGGCTGGCCAGGACATCTTGGGCCTGGGTCGGGCTGACCAGGGCAATTTGGGCCCCGGTGGGGCTGGCCGAGGCAACCTGGGTCCCAGCAGGGGCAACTTAGGTCAAGGTGGGTCAGGCCGGGGCAACTTGAGACCCGGTGATAGTAGTGGAGCTAATCAGGGCAATTGGTTTTATGACTGGAGTAATGAGAGTCACGGAGGTGCCAACAGGGGTCACGGTGGAGCCAACAGAGGTCACGGTGGTGCCAACAGGGGTCACGGTGATGGCAGAGGACGGGATATTAGTAGTGGAGGGTCAAGGTCTTGCCGCAGTGTGGCCCGGGGCAGTCCCCACTGGGTGCCGGGGCTGGACCAGTGGTGTGTCACTAGCTGCGCTGCCGGCTACTGTCCACCCTCTCATTGTGTTTGCTAGTACCCCTGTAACGGACACTGCCCCAGGGAACTGTTCCACTAACTACCCCAGGGAACTGTTCCACTAACTGCCCCAGGGAACTGTTCCACTAACTGCCCCAGGGAACTGTTCCACTAACTGCCCCAGGGAACTGTTCCACTAACTGCCCCAGGGAACTGTTCCACTAACTGCCCCAGGGAACTGTTCCACTAACTGCCCCAGGGAATTGTTCCACTAACTGCCCCAGGGAACTGTTCCACTAACTGCCCCAGGGAACTGTTCCACTAACTGCGCCAGGGAACTGTTCCACTAACTTCCCCAGGGAACTGTTCCACTAACTTCCCCAATGTAACTTTTCTACTAACTGTTCCACTAACTGTCCCAGTGAACTGTTCCAGTAACTTCCCCAGGGAACTGTTCCACTAACTGTTCCACTAACTGTCCCAGGGAACTGATCCACTAACTGTTCCACTAACTGTCCCAGGGAACTGTTCCACTAACTGCCCCAGGGAACTGTTCCACTAACTGCCCCAGGGAACAGTTCCACTAACTGTCCCAGGGAACTGTTCCACTAACTGCCTCAGGGAACTGTTCCACTAACTGCCCCAGGGAACTGTTCCACTAACTGCCCCAGGGAACTGTTCCACTAACTGCCCCAGGGAACTGTTCCACTAACTGTCCCAGGGAACTGTTCCACTAACTGCCCCAGGGAACTGTTCCACTAACTAACTGCCCCAGGGAACTGTTCCACTAACTGCCCCAGGGAACTGTTCCACTAACTGCCCCAGGGAACTGTTCCACTAACTAACTGCCCCAGGGTACTGTTCCACTAACTGCCCCAGGGAACTGTTCCACTAACTAACTGCCCCAGTGAACTGTTCCACTAACTGCCCCAGGGAACTGTTCCACTAACTGCCCCAGGGAACTGTTCCACTAACTAACTGCCCCAGGGAACTATTCCACTAACTGCCCCAGGGAACTGTTCTACTAACTGCCCCAGGGAACTGTTCTACTAACTGCCCCAGGGAACTGTTCCACTAACTGCCCCAGGGAACTGTACCACTAACTGCCCCAAGGAGCTACTACTGGTTCGTGGTCTTAAAAAGTTACCAGGCCACAATTATCTATTGCAAACTGCATCTATAAGAGTCTTAAGACAGGTTCCAGGATATTTTATATCTTGAATATCTGAGCTATACATATATATTACGCTTGTTATTTTATATCTGTCATATAGGCGTATACTGACTTGCCGTCTTCTAATAGTTACAGTACTTGCTTAGCTACTAAATTTAAAATATTTTATTAACTTCTATTATTAGTTCTTACTCAAGCTTCGGCTTGAGGAAAAGCACAGTGCCTTGAGTCAGACTGATGCCCCTCGAGCTCTCCCTCTCCCAAGGTGTATACCAGTATGTATACCCAGATGGTTCACTCTCCCAGGGTGTATACCAGTATACCCTGGTGGTCCCCTCCACCACTCCACCGGGGCCTCCACTCGTCAGCACTCTCATACTCGTAGCCCCTCAATCTATTATTATATGTATCCAAATATAATATAATATATTGTATTGTAATATGCATTGTACACATTGATTATAGATGATTGTCATCTTTGATTGGACTCGACTCCTCCAGACACACAATTGTGACGTGCTTGAGTCTCTGGCAATGCTCAGATATAATATTTAAAATGAGCCAGTCTCCTGTGGTTTTTCATCCCATCTTGGCCTCCGAATGCACGACAGAACTGACGAGTTAGTCAAGACATGTAAAGTGATAGGAAACGCGCCCAACCATTTCTGTCCCACCAGGGATTCGAACCCGAAATTCCTGATGGTAGGTCGAGAACGAACCCGACTGTGCTAGTCGGGACATTGTCCTGCCCTGTAAACCCGCGGAGTTTTATCTACTGATAAAATGTCTGGGATGCAGTACCACCCACGGGATAGGTCTGGGTTCTACTACCACCCACGGGATGGGTCTGGGGTGCAGTACCACCCACGGGATGGGTCTGGGGTGCAGTACCACCCACGGGATAGGTCTGGGGTGTACTACCACCAACGGGATGGGTCTGGGGTGCAGTACCACCCACGGGATGGGTCTGGGGTATACTACCACCCCATGGGATGGGTCTGGGGTACACTACCACCCACGGGATGGGTCTGGGGTGCACTACCACCCCATGGAATGGGTCTGGAGTGTACCACCACCCACGGGATGGGTCTGGGGTACACTACCACCCACGGGATGGGTCTGGGGTACACTACCACCCACGGGATGGGTCTGGGGTACACTACCACCCACGGGATGGGTCTGGGGCGCACTACCATCCACAGGATGGGTCTGGGGCGCACTACCACCCACGGGATGGGTCTGGGGTGCACTACCACCCACGGGATGGGTCTGGGGCGCACTACCACCCACGGGATGGGTCTGGGGCGCACTACCACCCACGGGATGGGTCTGGGGTACACTACCACCCACGGGATGGGTCTGGGGCGCACTACCACCCACGGGATGGGTCTGGGGTACACTACCACCCACGGGATGGGTCTGGGGTACACTACCACCCACGGGATGGGTCTGGGGTACACTACCACCCACGGGATGGGTCTGGGGTACACTACCACCCACGGGATGGGTCTGGGGCGCACTACCACCCACGGGATGGGTCTGGGGCGCACTACCACCCACGGGATGGGTCTGGGGCGCACTACCACCCACGGGATGGGTCTGGGGTGCACTACCACCCACGGGATGGGTCTGGGGTGCACTACCACCCACGGGATGGGTCTGGGGCGCACTACCACCCACGGGATGGGTCTGGGGTGCAGTACCACCCACGGGATGGGTCTGGGGTGCACTACCACCCACGGGATGGGTCTGGGGTGCACTACCACCCCATGGAATGGGTCTGGAGTGTACCACCACCCACGGGATGGGTCTGGGGCGCACTACCACCCACGGGATGGGTCTGGGGTGCAGTACCACCCACGGGATGGGTCTGGGGTGTACCACCACCCATGGAATGGGTCTGGAGTGCGTAACAGATAAACAGAAATCAAACAAATCCAAGGAGGATTAATAACCCCATTAAACAAAGTTAATACAAGATAATATCAACAAAATTTGACTAAGATTTTATTATCAGCATAAAATTATCGACCAAATACATTAACTGAACCATAATAATTAAAACAATTCTGCTTGGATAAATAAACTAATTAAAAGTCGCTTGTGTGTTAATTTTGACCTTAAATGTAATGCACAATAACAATGTGTGAATAACGATGGCAGGGTACTGTGCACCACGTCTGCTGAGCCTGTGAGAGGCAGGGTACTGTGCACCACGTCTGCTGAGCCTGTGAGAGGCAGGGTACTGTGCACCACGTCTATTGAGCCCGTGAGAGGTAGGGTACTGTGCACCACGTCTACTGATCCTGTGAGAGGTAGGGTACTGTGCACCACGTCTATTGAGCCTGTGAGAGGCAGGGTACTGTGCACCACGTCTGCTGATCCTGTGAGAGGCAGGTTACTGTGCACCACGTCTATTGAGCCTGTGAGAGGTAGGGTACTGTGCACCACGTCTGCTGATCCTGTGAGAGGCAGGGTACTGTGCACCACGTCTGCTGATCCTGTGAGAGGCAGGGTACTGTGCACCACGTCTGCTGATCCTGTGAGAGGCAGGGTACTGTGCACCACGTCTATTGAGCCTGTGAGAGGCAGGGTACTGTGCACCACGTCTATTGAGCCCGTGAGAGACAGGGTACTGTGCACCACGTCTATTGAGCCTGTGAGAGGCAGGGTACTGTGCACCACGTCTATTGAGCCCGTGAGAGGCAGGGTACTGTGCACCACGTCTATTGAGCCTGTGAGAGGTAGGGTACTGTGCACCACGTCTGCTGATCCTGTGAGAGGCAGGTTACTGTGCACCACGTCTGCTGATCCTGTGAGAGGTAGGGTACTGTGCACCACGTCTGCTGATCCTGTGAGAGGCAGGTTACTGTGCACCACGTCTGCTGATCCTGTGAGAGGTAGGTTACTGTGCACCACGTCTGCTGATCCTGTGAGAGGTAGGGTACTGTGCACCACGTCTGCTGATCCTGTGAGAGGCAGGTTACTGTGCACCACGTCTGCTGATCCTGTGAGAGGCAGGTTACTGTGCACCACGTCTGCTGATCCTGTGAGAGGTAGGGTACTGTGCACCACATCTACTGATCCTATGAGAGGCAGGTTACTGTGCACCACATCTACTGATCCTGTAAGAGGCAGGTTACTGTGCACCACACCTACTCATCCTGTGAGAGGCAGGTTTGGCACCTGTACAAAGCGCACCTATTTGATATTCCAAGAGTACGACTTAGTCAAACTAGAAATGCTTTACAAATCAAGGGACCTCGAATGTGGAATGACCTTCCCAATTATGTTAAAGACTGTACCTCTCTCAACCAGTTTAAGATAAAAACTAAGTACCACTTAATTAACTCAATGTAACCTACCTCACCCCCAAAATGTCAACGCATGTCTACTATTTTAAACAATGCTGTCTGTTGACCAAATTGTATTTTTGCTTTTTTTCTGCCATGTTTCCCCCCCCCCCCCTTTTTCCATTTTTTCTTATTTTTTCTCAACACAATTTATACTTTAATCTCAATTAGTTTTAAGTTTTAGTCTTAGTGTTTTCCTGCCCGAAACGCTTTGCGTAATAGTGGTTTTAGGCATTGTATGTACTAGCTCTATCTATAAATCCATCAACTTTTGTATCTTACCTTGTATGTATGTACTTTACCTGAATAAATATTTGTATTTTTGTTTTGTTTTTAAGTTGTAGAGCTCCTCCAGCTCCTCAGATGGCGGGCAGGAACCATGGATGGAGTGAGAATTTCTTCTCTGGATCGCCACACTAAGGCGCTGAAAGAGAAAACTGGCAGCTCTAGGGTCTCTATATATATCTAGGGTCTGTCTGTCTGTCTCTCTCTCTCTCTCTCATATATATATATATATATATATATATATATATATATATATATATATATATATATATATATATATATATATATATATATATATATATATATATATTTTTTTTTTTTTTTTATATATTATATAGGGAAGGGAGTACCACCTCTGGCTGGAAGAAGGGGGACCCATAGCCTCGGAGGAAACCACACATAACGCATTGGAGGGAATGTAGGTCCCCTCCAATACAGTTTCTGTGTGCTTTTCTCCTACCACCCCCTTCCCTTTTTTTTTTCCTTTATTGTGTATTTAAAGGTTACAAAACATACAAGACAAATGCCTAAAGGTTATGGATCTCTTGAAGCTCCTCCGCTTCTGGACAGGAACCGAGGACGCAGCAAGCATTTCCCCTCTGGATCGCCACACTGAGATGCTGAAATAAAAAACTGGAAGCCCTTGGGTTTCTGGTGACGTCAATGAGCTTGGAACCCAATTCCTTGAGAAATCCCAAGGCACTCTTGCCCCAGGGGCCATGCGTCTCAGACGCTATGGGAACAAAGAGGTATTGACCTTCCAGTCGCCTGTACTTGAGTGATTTTGCTGTTTCCCTGTGGTTGGCCGCCCCACCTGCTTGATCAGCTCCGAAGTGTACATAGGTGTCAGCTAGGGTGGATACACATGTGTAGTCCCACACCAACTGTCTACCCTCCTTCCATGAGTATATGGTGATGCCATCAGGGCGAAGTGCGGGGAAATCCGGGTTTTGGACCCCTAGGATGCGAGGTTCTCTCTCCGCTGGGCACCCAGCTGAGACGAGGCTTCTCTTGATGATGTCATTGACCTCGTTGTGTCTTTCATGCCAGCCCTTTGTGCTTCCGCAATGCAACCCATGCAGTCCGTATTGGTCTGCTTCCACCCTGTTGCAAATACACTTGTATTCAGTGTGAATTGGGGCACCAAGGCGGAGGGCCACTGCTACACGAAGGGATTCTGGATCTAGGCGCGTGCCCATTGCTGACATGGGTACTGCCAGGAGGAAGTCTCCTGCATGGGGGGCACGCACTGCTCTGAGGCGGGCTTTCTCCTTGTCTGATGTTGCGACGTTGAGCATGGCATCAGCTACTTTTTCCACTAGAGGGTGGTCCCAGCCGGACTGTTTGTGTTGTTTTGTTGGCTCTATAATGGTTGCTGGGGCTGCAAGAACATCCCACTGATTTGAACATTCAGTGAAAGCAGGATCGTGTATTCCTGCTGAATCTCTCAGGGTTGCAGGTAAAATATCTCTGACGAGGTCGTGCGATGCATGAGAGGAGGAAAGGAAGGCTGGTAGAGCAATTTGGGAGGCTGTGCGGACACCAAGGCCGCCGAGTCTTACAGGAAGGGTTGCTTGCTCCCACTGAGAGTCGTCCAATGGCAGGTTCAGGACTTTCACCAGCATGGACCTCAGAAGGGTGTCATACACATTTAACTTAGGGCTGCTGTAGGATGGAGAACATCTCAGAAAGTAGGTGAACTTAGGGAGAGACAGGCATCTTGTAAGGAGAAAGAGAGCATCATGGGCATCAATCTTGTCAATCCTGTCCTGCATTCTCTTTAGGTCAGTGATTTTTGCAACCAGGACCTCCTCGATTGCTCGTGGGCCAATGGGGGCACCCAGGAGAGTGCAGTCCGGTGGCTCGACAACGAGAATGTCTGGAAGAACATTTTGTATTTGCCCAGTGATATATATATATATATATATATATATATATATATATATATATATATACACATATATATATAATATATAAATACTGTAAATTAAAAAGTGAATAAATAAGCCACCACACTCATTAAGTAGGAGGAAGCCAAGAATTCAGCCACTGGGACGTGCGGTCAGCTGGGAGGCAGGTAAACACACGAGTGGGCGGACACCAAGCTGACAGGCCAGGAAACTTAGCTCACGGACCACGAGTAGGTGTAAACCAAGCTCACACATCTCGAGTAGGTGTAAACCAAGCTCACACATCTCGAGTAGGTGTAAACCAAGCTCACGGACCACGAGTAGGTGTAAACCAAAGTTACGGACCAGGAGTGGGCGGATGCCAATCTCACAGACCAGGTGTAAACCAAGCTCACGGGCCAAAAGTGGGCGGACATACTGTGGGCGTAGACTTCCTGTTGCTGAAGCCACAGTTTAAACTAACTGTAGACTGACAGTGGCAGGAAAAGTGTACAGAGGAGCAGTCATCATGCTGCAGCTGACCAAGAGGTGGGTCTAATATTTTTCTATTTTTTTCCTACCACAAACGTGAACCTAATTATTTACAGCGCTAACCATTACACATACAGTCTCTTCTGTTTAATGGACAATGTTAAGGATTTGTTAGAGTATATAGTGCGCACAGAGTTGTTGACCATTCATCCACAGAACGTGAGTGAAGTGCTGTTATAATAGTAAACAATGATTCTAATTAGCATATATTTACATTGATTAACCATTAGGCTGCTCAGCCTTAAGGGTCAAGAAGCGAAAAATATTCGAATTATGTAAAATTACTTATAAATGTTAAACAAATCTCTAACTTATTGGCTTCAGCGTCGTGAAAGTTTCATCAAAATATTTTTAGAAATGAATTTTAAATGATTTTTTTTTTAAAAGAAGAACATTTCCTTGATAAGGAGAACAGCTCCTATTAACTGGAACTGATGGATAATCCAGTAACAAAGAGGTGTAAGCACCTGTTCAACACACACACACAAAGAAGAAAAATAGTAAGAAGTGTCCACAAAGTGGATATGCAGCTGGGGCCTTTATAGCATTGCAGAGTAATACACAATAACACAAAGTGTAATGAGTAAGTATGTTGTTATGCTCTATTTTGTTATATATCATATAAATATATTGCCCAATGTTAATATGTTACTTTCACCAATGTCCAAAAAAAACTTTTTAGGGGAAATTAATTTTTTTCCTTTTTCTTTGTTTTTCTCTTTTGTTTATTATCCGATTTGGCTGTAACCACTACATCCTGGAGAGTGCATACCCGTCCCTAACTATGTGAAGATAAAATTAAATTGGTCAACAAATAAATCGGTTACACCTGCCAGAACTTGGAATTTTGAATTATTTTTGGCTGATTTTTTCAAGTATCAAACACTCTTCTCTTTGTTTCTTCAGGTTATTTTGATGATTAGGAATCAGATTAGAGCTTTTCCACTTATATAAAGTATACCCTAAATATATCCCCTAAATCATTATAATTATTATAATTATCCCTATATGTGTACAGGCTGTATTTAGTTTTTTTTTTTGGGGGGGGGGGGTATTTTTTCTTCACTTCATTTCAACACATATTGACCTACAACTTTCACATATTTGAGTACAAATGCTCAACAATGTTTATTGAAATGTACACGAAAATTAAGGAATTAGAACTACCTTATTCATTGTCGATAAGTTCAACTTCAATTATCTCTAAAATTTGAGTTTCAACTGTAATCAGCTTAAAAAAATAAAGTTTCTGAATGATTCTCACCATATTTGCATATAGTGTGCACAGCTGTCTGTTCTACAATCCCTTTAGAATGGATTTTTCATAAACCCTAAACGTTTGGAGTTATAAATTTTTTTGTCTACATTTGGCGTCTATTTTCAAATGCGTTATTGACAATTTTTATTTTTTACAATAAACTATACTGAAAACCTATATTCTAAATCTACAAAAATGAAGATCATGTGCTATTCTGAGAGCATAATAACTCCAAATGAACAATTGGTGATATTTTATATTTTTTCAGCCGATTTCAAAATATGAAGTTTTCAGCTCAATTTTAGAATTATTTTTTATTATCTTGTTTTTCATGCTACATTGGCGATCATTTAGACAGTTAGAACATTTCCTAATACATTATACACAAAATATTTGAAAGTGTTTGATCAAGATTAAGAAACTGTTCCATGTCTATACAAACATGCATGTATTGTGCCGTTTAAGTGTTAAAATACACTTGCAAGCATGAGGTATAATTGCATCATATATTACATCACAATAAATAACAAAAATGTGATATACTTAACATTATAGCAGGTTGATGAGGAAAAGGACCTTGGAGTCAAAATTCACCACTCAATGAAAGTTACACAGCAGGAAGGAACAGCAGTTAAAAAATCTAACCAAACACTTGGAATAATCAAGTGTACCTTTGTTTTCAAGGGAAAAGAAGGTAATGATTCAATTGTATAAATCTCTAATGCTTTTGGATTACTGTATCCAAGCATGGAGACCTCATCTTCAGAAGGATATAACTACTCTGGAGAAAGTGCAACAGTGTGCAATAAAAATCATTCCAGAGCTAAGTCAACGCACATATCAGAAACGGTTGAGGGCCACGTGGCTAGTAACACTACAAATCAGGCATGACAGGGCGGATCTTATTGAAACATTTAAAATACTGAACAAATTTCAGGATGTTGACCCGAAAAATTTCTTTAAAATATCTGGTGTAATACAGACAACGAGCAACGGTTTCAAGCTCAACAAGCCACATTGTAGGACTGAGAACAGGAGATGCTTTTTCACTCACAGGGTTATTAACCCATGGAACTGCCTACCCGCCAAAACCATTAATGCTGGAAAAGATGATCAAGGCAAATGGGGGGACCTTCAACAAGCCGCCAGCTTCCTGTCCTTGTCGAGGCCACTGGTGTTAGTGGCTCTCGGGTAAAATCAGGTAAACAATAGTCTTTGTCCAGTTATCAGGTTTCTGCTGCCATTACCTGGTCAACCTGATTGTGATAATTATGTGGATTACTGATCTTTAGGCTATGCAGACAAACAGCCTCACAGAGTTGGCAATTATCAGAGAAGGCTGGCCACAGGCCAGACTGCAGGAGTAGAATAACTCTCGAAATCAACAGGTAAGCGATAAGTAATCTGGCACCTCACCCTCCTGCCAAGCCATTTCTGACATGCTGTAAATTTAGCACCGTCTACCATCACTCACCCCTGTATCTTAACATAGCTGTAGGTATCATATATGCATCTTAGAGGCTAAAGGATGATGTTGCTATTAATTGTTAGTTATTTGTAAATATGATGGATACAGTCTAAATTTTTGCTATTTTGCTTTTCAGATTACAAGAGGGAATATCTCTTGTAAATACCATAGACATCAGCAAGATTAATGGAGTGTTGGGCCGAGTTTGTGCTGCACTGTGTGCTGGATCTTCGCAGGTCTCAATATCTTAGTCATATAAAACTTAAATATTATTATGCAGAGAATGTCATAATATGTGACTTAGGTGACTATGTAACATGTGTGGGATAAGTTATTGAACATTAAAAAATTACTTGTCATAATCAGATTTCTTTTTAGATCTGGTATGTACTGTATATGTTAATGTATGAAATTATTTAACTAATTGTGTGCCTCTTGAGTACTAGTATTTTATTTCCCATTTGACATCAGGTGAGAGTATATAGGGTAGTCACTGGTATCAAGCCACTAAATTTTATAATGAAAATAATAAATTTATGGAAATACAGATGGTACATTGTAGGAATAGGACTTCAGCAATGAAATTACATTCCAGTCATGTCTATAGATGTAATATATATACTTGTTGCATTTTGTGAGGTCTGTAGGTGCAGAATGAGGCTTATCCATCCCGTCCTCTCTACAAGTACATCACATTTTGGTGTATAAATCTGCTAAGGACAAAAAAATGTTGTAATAAAAATCATAGTGGCTCGCAAAATTGCCATGGTGTCCTGTTTTCTATTCTCTCGTTACTGCCTGTTATCATTACTTTCTGCAACATCACCCTCTTTATTAGTTTGGCATTGTTTACAGGACGATTATGTGTTAGGATTAATCTGTAAGTTGATGACTTCAGTTATCTTCCCACAGAGATCAAACACACGGTGCTAGTTACTATTCCTGTCAGTTTGGTGATGCCGCTCCAATAATGGTGTCACTAGACATGTTATTCCTGTGGCATTATAAAGTTGAATTGTGTTAATGTGCTGGCTATTCTTATGATTTCCTGGGCTCATCGATAGATTTTATTTGCACCTTGGGATGTTCTTGCATAATTTCCTACACCTTCTTCTTGTGATGTAGTAGTCATAAGATGAATCTCAGGGGTTAACCAGAGATCAACCTTTTTGGGGACTTATTTGTGTTACTAGCAGTTCGCCAAGGCAGGCAAAAAAGAGCCCTTACATTTCGAGAGAGGAGTAAATATGCTGCACATGAAGTACCAATTCAGTTGTGCAAAGCATTAACTCTCAGCTCCCTAGCATAGAGAAGGTATATATAAATCTAGAAAATGTTCTAATCCAGATGGTCAGGCTAGTGTAGTACTGTATTGACACTCCAACAGCTAGGGATACCATCTGTATTTCAGTCATCTGGAGTATGTTTACTGTAGTATAATGGCTTATGCTGGTGCTAGGTCCACAATTTCAGTTTCTGGGTGTCACCTGGAAAAACTGTTAAGACAATGAGAAAATCCACCAGGGCTGTGAGGTGGTGCAAACCTACGACCCCGACATTGCCAGTCGCAGACTCTACCACTATAGGTTCATGCCACCTCACAGCCCTGATGGATTTTCTCATTGATATATATCATGTTAGTGTGACTTCTGTTTTGTTTGTTAAGACAATGTTCATAATTCATTTATGAATTAGACATTGAAATGATAATTTTTACCCTTCACGAGTTTGGTATTTTCTTAGTCTTCGTGTTTTGATGTTCTGTCTGTCCAAAGTAGCAAATATAGTAATTTAATATTGGGATTACAGTACTAGTACAGTACTTTGAAATTACAGTTCATCAAGAATTAACTCTAATTTCATCCTGTAAAAAATTACAGTTCATCAATCACCCAGAGGTGATTGGGTGACTGACAGTACCAGTGTTGCCGTTTAATGTTGTTATTATTAATTGGAATTTAAAAACTAATGTAAAGAAGTTTATTTGCAATCATTATAGAACTTTTCTTTTAATTTTTAGTGACCTGCTTGTTCAGTATTTCTCATGTGTTGTCCAATTTTAATAAAAATAAGCACAAGGTTATGTAAAGATAATGTATGTAAATCACTCTACTGTATATTCAAAAAGCCAGTACTGATAGAACTGTGTACACACAGGTGTTTACTGAGGAAGAGGAGGAGAAACTAAACAGTTCACTGGGCCTCACTCCTGAGCAAACCAAGACGGTCATCCACACCGTCGTCCACATTATCCAACAGGTGGGTTAAGATTTAAGGTTGCAGCCAGTAACCTGTGCATAACTGAGGGTGGGTAGACTTGCAATGAGGATCTTGGATGTTTTATTTTGGTTGGGTGTTGAACTTGAGGCCGATCAACCCCTGGAGGGTTATTTACCCTTAACCCCCCACAATGCGCGTAGCGCCTTAACCTCTGGGAGGGGTTTGCCTTAACCCTTAAACTGCGCACATTGTGTATATACAATAAATTGTCCACGATTTAAATGTCCCACAGTTACACGGGGTTCACATCAGCATCCTCAGGGCTCTAGGAAACAGATGCCACTTAAAAAAAAAAAGTTGGTAACATTCCCAGGTGTGAGAGCCTCAGTACTGAGTGAGCAACCAAGGCTGGCACATGCAGTATGAGTTAACAGCACTGCTGTTCAGCTTGTGACCACAGCATCGCCTAAAAATGTTAAAATATATATATGTAACTGCTATTATTTAGCATTAATAGTATTACAGAAGACCCCTGACTGATAAAAATGACCAGGATTGTGGTGATAATTAGCACTGTGCATAGTATAGTGGGAGGAGTAATCTTTGTGAGGGAGGCAGGTAGCATTGTTTGCTGACCCTGTGTGGCACCCTGTTATTGTCTGGACTCACCATACCAGCTTAGTGGTTCATTATGGTGAACACAAATGTAGATATTTAAATATAACATCTGTATATACAGTAGTGAATAAAAGCAAAAGCAGTATGGTGGGAGGAGGAATGTTGGCAATTGAGGTGTTGGTGAGGGAGGGAAGGTGGTGGTGTTTGCTGGATGGTGTGTTGCGGCCACTCGTCGTTGTTTTGACTCGCCATACCAACTTAGTGGTTCGTTATGGTGAACAAAACATGCAGATATTTATATATATAATGTGTGTATATAGTGTAATAACAGCAAAACTATTTGTTTGTTTTATGAACATAATAATTAAATCACTAACATGCATACTGTACCATACTTTTGAGTATAGTGATGGTTCACACATTTTATTATATAAATATATCACACACACACTATTGAATAATATTACTGCAAAAAAGCTAAGAAAAAATCAGACACATTTAAATAATTAGGTAATAATATCTTTGTGGCAACTCCCGCCTGACAGTGTGAGCGGAGCTGACCCCCTTCGACAATCACTCTGTCAATGCCTCAATTTTGCGACTTCCTTGTCCTATTGTGACCAAAATATGTCGCCTATGATTTTTTCCCCCCGTGGTAGGGATCACAAATGAACTTTAATAAGACATTATTCTTTTCCCCGCACAGCGGAGTTGATGGCTATTAACCATTAACCACTGAACTGCGCAATGCGCCTGCAGGCGCTCGACGGGGAGGATGCGCAACGCACCTCCAGGATCTTATAGGTATAGGGTACCATTCAAAACTCCCGCGGCTACATGGGGTTCACATCAGCTTCCTCAGGGCTCTTGTAAACAGACGCCATTTTTTTTTTTAAATCATGGGCAACATTCCCGGGTATGAGAGCTTCAGTACTGAGTGAGCAACCAAGGGTGGCGCATGCAGCATGAGCTCACAGCACTGCTGTTCAGCTTGTGACCACAGCATCGCCTAATAATGTTTAAATATATATGTAACTGGTATTATTTAGCATGATAGTACTGGTATTACAAAAGGGTCTGAGTGTGATGATGACTGTGTACAATGTTCAAATATCAGTGAATCAATGTTGTCCACGATGTTCACAGTGCTAGCCACAGCACCATAGCATTATTTTGTCCATAAAGGAATCTTTAAACGACTTCTTATGTTCCTTTACAAAATAAACTTGTGGTTACCTTGAGGTGCTTCCAGGGTTTAGCGTCCCCGCGGCCCGGTTGTCGACCAGGCCTCCTGGTTGCCGGACTGATCAACCAGGCTGTTGAACGCGGCTGCTCACAGCCTGACGTATGAGTCACAGCCTGGTTGATCAGGTATCCTTTGGAGGTGCTTATCCAGTTCTCTCTTGAACACTTGTGAGGGGTAGGCCAGTTATGCCCCTTATGTGTAGCGGAAGCGTGTTGAACAGTCTCGGGCCTCTGATGTTGATAGAGTTCTCTCTCAGAGTACCTGTTGCACCTCTGCTTTTCAACGGGGGTATTCTGCACATCCTGCCATGTCTTCTGGTCTCATGTGGTGTTATTTCTGTGTGCAGGTTTGGGACCAGCCCCTCTAATATTTTCCACGTGTAAATTATTATGTACCTCTCCCACCTGCGCTCAAGGGAGTACAGATTTAGGCTCTTTAGTCGGTCCCAATAGTTTAGATGTTTTACTGAGTGGATTCTAGCAGTAAAGAATCTCTGCACGCTCTCCAGGTCAGCAATTTCTCCAGCTTTGAAAGGGGCTGTCATTGTGCAGCAGTACTCCACTCTAGAGAGCACAAGCATTTTGAAAAGTATCATCATCGGTATAGCATCTCTAGTGTGAAAAGTTCTTGTTATCCAACCTGTCATTTTTCTTGTAGTTGTGACAGCTACTTTATTGTGTTCTTTTAAAGGTAAGGTCTTCCAACATGAGTACACCCAGATCCTTTACATTGCCTTTTCGTTCTATGTTATGATTTGCCTGAGTTTTGTACGTGGTTTCCCGTTTTCGTGGTCAATTATTCATTTACAGGATTTAGTGACCAGGATTGTGATAAAAGCAGGATTGTGGTGATAATTAGCACTGTGCGTAGTATTGTGGGAGAAGGAATTTTGGTGAAGGAGGAGGGAATCGAGGTAGCGTCACTGTGTGTGGCAGCCACTCTTGTTTTGCTCACTATCCTAGATAAGTGGTTTGCTGTGGTGAACACATGTACATGGGTATATACAATGTGTGTATATAGTGTAATAACAGCAACAGGAGTATGTTGGGTAGAGCCATTTTGGTGAGGGAGGTGGCGTCGTACTCATAGCGTCGTCATCTGCTGTGTGACTTGTCATGTAGTGTATGGTGGCCACTGTGCTGTTTGGACACAATACTAGCTTAATTGCATAGTTATGTTGAATAAAGCATGTAGATACTTATACATAACATGTGTAAATAATGTAATAAAACCAATAATAGTATGGTGGGAGGAGAAATGGCGAGTAAGCTGTTGGAGGAGTGAGGGAGGGCTGGCTGGGTGTGGCAGCTCACACTAGCGGAGTTCTGAGTGTGTTGATTGTGAATGTATATAGTGTGTGATAGAGTATAGTGTGTAAATATGTTGTAAATATACATAAATGAACATGAAACATTGGGTAAATGAGCAATATATGTGGACACATTTGTGACGCATGTAACACAGTGCCTTGGGACAGTACGGATGTTCTACTGCCATATTGTGTACATGTTCATTATACATAGGACATAATGTGATCAAAGTGGCATCAGAAATCCAAACCCTAATAATGGGGAATTTTAACCATAAGACTATAGATTGGGTAAATCTAACGTCACAAGCAGAGGGAAAACAATTTCTAGATCTGGTTCAGGACTCCTTTCTCATACAGCATGTGGTAGAGCCCACACATAGGCACACAAACATTCATACCAAAACAGAGATGCAGACCTAGGAAACGGATAGTTCAACAGAAATTGCGAGGGGGCCAGAGATCAACAGACACAAGCATGGAATCGTTATAGGAAGAGGCCAAACCCCCAAACATTCCAGCGATAGAAAGATACAAGAAATAACTACACGTCAGTAAGGAGAGAGGCAGAGAGGAATTTTGAGGTATAGCAGACAAATGTAAATCAGATCCAGGACTTTTCTATAAGTTCATTAAAAGCAAGCTGCAGGTAAAGGATAATATTCAGAGGTTGAAAATGGGGGAAAGATGCATGGAAAATTAAAAGGAAATGTGTGAAACATTACATGAAAAGTTCCAAAGTGTGCTTGTACAAAATGAGATCTTCAGAGAACCAGACACAATAAGAATTCCAGAGAGCAGCATAGAGCATATAGAGGTGTCTAGAGATTATGCCAAATGCTCTTAGTTTTAAGAACAAAGCAGTTGGCCCAGATGGAGTTTCACCATGGATTCTGAGAGAATGTGCACCTGAGCTCAACATTCCACTTCAGCTGATTTTTCAGACATCCCTGTGTACAGGAATCATAGCAGATGTGTGAAAAAAGGCTAACATAATTTCAATCTACAGAAGTGGCAGCAGGGAAGACCCCCCTCAATTATAGATCTGTATCACTGACAAGTGTAATAGTCAAAATATTGGAAAAAATAATAAAAACTAAATGGCTAGAACACCTGGAGAGAAATTGTATAATACCAGACAGACAGTATGGTTTTCGATCTGGAAGATCCTGTGTATCGAATTTACTCAGTTTCTATAATCGATCCACAGAGATTTTACAGGAAAGAGATGGTTGGGTTGACTGCATCTATCTGGACCTGGACCTAAAAAAGGCTTTCGACAGAGTTCCACATAAGAGGTTGTTCTGGAAATTGGAAAATATTGGAGGGGTGACAGGTTAGCTTCTAACATGGACGAAAATTTTTCTGACCGATAGAAAACTGAGGGCAGTAATCAGAGGCAATGTATTGAGCTGGAGAAATGTCACAAGAGGAGTACCACAGAGTTCAGTTCTTGCTCTAGTGATGTTCATTGTCTACATAAATGATCTACCAGATGGAATACAGAATTATATGAACATGTTTGCTGATGATAAGATAATAGGAAGGATAAGAAACTTAGGTGATTGTCATGCCCTTCAAGAAGACATGGACAAAATAAGTATATGGAGCACCACTTGGCAAATGGAATTTAATGTGAATAAATGCCATGTTATGGAATGTGGAATAGGAGAACATAGACCACACACAACCTATAAATTATGTGAGAAATCTTTATAGAATTCTGATAAAAAAAATGATCTTGGGGTGATTCTAGATACAAAACTATCATCTGAGGACCACTTAAAGAATGTTGTGCGAGGAGCCTATGCTACTCGTAATTTACACAGATTTACACAGATTTCGCAAAAGCTTTTGAGACCACATGAAACCAGAAGACATGGCAGGATGTGCAGAATACCTCCGTTGAAAAGCAGAGGTGCAACAGGTACTCTGAGAGAGAACTCTATCAACATCAGAGGCCCGAGACTGTTCAACACGCTTCCACTACACATAAGGGGCATAACTGGCCGACCCCTCACAGTGTTCAAGAGAGAACTGGATAAGCACCTCCAAAGGATACCTGATCAACCAGGCTGTGACTCATACGTCAGGCTGCGAGCAGCCGCATCTAACAGCCTGGTTGATCAGTCCAGGAACCAGGAGGCCTGGTCGACGACCGGGCCACGGGGACACTAAGCCCCGAAAGCACCTCAAGGTAACTACTCTTTCTAACTTCAGAATTGCTTTTAAATACATCGATGGTGAAATACTAAAGAAATTGTTCACAACTTTTGTTAGGACAAAGCTAGAATATACAGCGGTTGTGTGGTGCCCATATCTTAAGAAGCACATCAACAAACTGGAAAAGATGCAAAGACATGCTACTAAGGTGCTCCCAGAACTGAAGGGCAAGAGCTACGAGGATAGGTTAGAGGCATTAAGTATGCCAAAACTAGAAGGCAAGAAAAAGAGGTGATATGATCACTACGTACAAAATAGTAACAGGAATTGATAAAATTGATAGGGAAAATTTCCCGTGACCTGGAACTTCAAGAACAAGGTCATAGATGTAAACTAACTTAACAAAGATGCCTAAGAAATATAAGAACATTCACTTTAGCAAATAGTGGTAGATGGTTGGAACAAGTTGGGTGAGAGGGTGGTGGAGGCCAAAAACGTCAGTAATTTCAAAGCGTTATATGACATAGTGCTGGGTAAACGGGACACCACGAGCGTAGCTCTCATCCTGTAACTACACTTAGGTAACATCATACTAGATCTTGTGCTAACATCAGAAGAGGGTATGTTTGATCAAATTCAGGTAGGGGAATAGATAACCCCATCATGTGATCACCATATTTTGATATGGACTACAAATACAGAAACCCACATAAAGGTTCATGACGAATTTTTAGATTACTGTACCATTGAGGTGACTATCATAGAATGAGAGAGGAACTGCAAAACATCTCCTGGAGAGAACTAATAGGTGAACATGACATGGAAACATCTTGACAAAACTTTAAGGTCATAAAGGAACTCGTTCAAAATTTTGTGCCAAAAAGGAAGAAGAAACGAAAGGGAACTAGATGGATAACTCGGGCAGTTAAACAAGCACTGATAGCTAAGAGGATCCTCTGAAGAACATATAAATCCACGATGGACATCATTGATTATGAGATATATAAAAGGGCACTAAATTCAGTCACCCAGGAAATCAGATCAGCCAAAAGGAACTACAAAAGAAAACTTGCCCAAAACATAAAAATAGATCCAAAGTCATTCTATGCCTATATAAGTCAAACCAAAACTAAGGACTCGGTGGGACCTTTAAAAGATGAGACTAACCAAACTCTAATGGATGACAAAAGGGCAGCAAACACTGTAAATGAATACAGTATTTTACATCTGTGTTCACACTAGAACGTTTAGATTACATCCCATCACCCATACAAAATATTTCAAGGTGATGAAGAGAATGAATTTAGGAATATAACCATAATATGTTACATAATCAGGAAGAACAGTGACAAACTAAAAAACTTGAAAGACCTAGGTGTGGATGAAATACAGTCCAATGTCATAGAGGAACTGGCAGAAGAACCACTGAAATTACTTTTCACAAAGTCTGTGGACCAAGGGATAGTCCCCCCTAGACTGGAAATATGCAAATATCACCCCTAGTTTCAAAAAATGGCAGAAAGAGCTCAGCGGAGAATCACGCATCTGCAAGCTCATGGAGAGAATCCTAATTGAGGGAATCATTCACCATCTTTCAGTGAACAATCTTGTTAAATTGATGTTACGTTACACTTCTGAACAAGGCTCGAATTCCTGTCACAGTTAATCAAAAGCTCAGTAGCCTATTAACATCTAGGTATAAAGTAAAACAACTGTGGTAAAATGGAAAAACCTGTTTACTCTGGGGTAAGGATAAAATACAAAAGATACAAGAAAATATGACTGACTACACGCTTAATTAAGGGTAATTAAAAATAAGGGCTGATGACCACTGACACAATGTAAAATTAGAAAATGGCTTAACACTTCATAAACATGTATTACCAAACACAAAGCAACCAACAGACTCTAGAACAACTCTCAGTCTACTTAACTCACGACCAGTCACCTGTGGCCCCACTCCGCAACTGAACGGACGTTCACCTTGCCTCCTCACACGTAAGCGTGACTCTACTCGACTCAGTAGCCAGACACGTCTGACAACAGCTCTTAACACACTTACATATGGAGATAATCACTTACAAACACGTCTACACAAAAATAGTTAAAAGCCACAGGTTACCTACGGATGACCTGTGGCTCAGTGGTCAGTGCTGTCGGCTCACAACCGGCACGTCCTAGGTTCGAATCCTGGGCAGGGCGAGACAGCTAGGTGCATCTCCTTGCACCCGTTGCCTCTGTTCGCCTAGCAGTAATTAGGAACTTAGTTGTTAGTCGACCGTTGTGGGTCGCTTACTGAGGAATGGTCAAATACCGATCATATTCGAGAAAACTTCGAATTTCCCACAAAACATGGAAACCCACAAAAGTATGTACTGTAATATATTATACATTCTGGAATAACAACTCAAAATAATATGTATCTCATAAGGAAAATAATAAATAATTGAATGCAAACCCAAACTGGTAACAGTGGCACGTGCCAACACATGCGACAGATTCCCGTGTCTAATACCTGTCTACTGGTACATATGCACACATGACTGCCTGCCATACAATATAATACAACAGAGGTAAATACAAATGCATAAATGAACACATCATCAAAATAAAATAGTTTATGTGCTGAAAAACTTATGGTAATTTTATTCATATAGGACAAAGTGAGGTGCGATGAATATATAATTATGCATACATTAACAATAGTGAGAATCGGGTAATTACCTGGTTCGTAACAATTGACACAACATGGGTTTGTTAAAAATAGATCTTGCCTTATAAACCTGCTCTCATTTTTGGTAACAGTAACCAGCTACAAAAACAAAGGACTTCCGATTGATGTAGTATACTTGGATTTTGCTAAAGCCTTTGTTAGGGTATCACATGAAATACTGGCAAGGAAATTACAGGCACATGGAATAAATGGAAGAATACTAGAATGATAGTACAATGGTTAAACAAAGAAAGCAAGGAATGGTGCTAAATGGGAATGAATCTGATTGGAGAAATGTTGTAAGTGGGGTACCACAGGGGGTCCAATTTAGGGCCAACCCTTTTTGTCATATAGTGTACATCAATGATAGATAAGAATATTACAAACCACATCATCAAATTTGCAGATTACACAAAGATTTATGGCAAAATGGTAAGTGATAATGATGTAGCCTTATAAAGAGATGTGCAGGAACTCTATAAATGGTCAGACTGGCAAATGCTTTTTAATATTGGCAAATGCAATACCCTGCATATGGGGCATAACAACCCACGCCACAACTACTAAATTAATAACATTACAGCAGATTGATGAGGAAAAGGAGCTTGGAGTCAAAATCCACCACTCAATGAAAGTTGCACAGCAGGTAGGTGCAGCAATAAAAAAAAGCAAACCAAACACTTGGAATAATCAAGTTTTCCTTAGCCTTCAAGGAAAATAAGGTAGTGATTCAATTGCATAGATCTCTCGTGCACCCCCATTACATACGTTTGGATTACTGTATCCAAGCATGGAGACCTTATCTTCAAAAGAATATAACTGCTCTAGAGAAAGGGCAACTCCGGGCAACAGAAATCATTCCATAGCTAAGTCAGCTCACATATTGGGAATGGTTGAGGGCCACAGGGCTAACAACTACAAACCAGGCATGACAGGGCAGATCTTATTGAAATGTTTAAAATACTGAACAAATTTGAGGATGTTGATCCGGAAAATTTCTTCAAAAGATCTGGTGTAACACAAACAAGGAGCAATGGTTTCAAGCTCAACAAGCCACAATGTAGGACTGAGAACAGGAGATGCTTTTTCACCCACAGGGTTCTTAACCCGTGGAACTGCCTACCCGCTGAAGTCGTAAATGCCAAAACTGTTAACCTTTAAAGTACAGCTGACAACCTCTTATAGTTAGTGAATTATTTTTTATCTACCTGATCTATATGATAGCCACTATCTCTAGTGGCTGTGGTGGGCCTGGGAAGCCAATGGCATATAATCCTCTCCCCCCCCCCACTCTCCCCAATTTTTCCTGCTTGGTTTTTAATTCTGCGTTTTGAAACGTAGTCATACTTTTACTTTTATGGCTTTGGTGAGTAGGTGTTTTCATGAGTTTTATTTTCCTTACCAATAATATAGTACCTATATTTCCCTTTGGTCTGGCCTACATTGGAACTTTGTGAGCTTGAAACTGTTCTATAAGCTTTAATGAATATTTTGTATAAGTGGTCTGGATTAACATCTTACAACCTATCAGTACACTATTTTAAGTCTTGATGAGATTAGCCTTGTTACTTTTTTTTTAAGCTATTCGTCTTGCTATTAGCCATTTTTTGGTTTGAGTCTTGACTTGGTTCTATAAAGATTTTTTGTTGTGTGTTAAACTTTCCCCATGCATTAATGTCTTTGAGTAATCTCACTCGAGTGCTACCTTAATTAATGTCCTGTTCTTCAAGAATATGACCAAAAAAATAACCATGCCAGGTTGACAGTCAATTCCCACAGCAGTGGGTATTTGTTTTTATTATAATATCATTGTACCCTTATTCTGTACATGTAATAAGTTGAGCATTATAATGTGTACCCCTCAGGCTGCACACAACATGGTACGTCCAGCTCTCTTAGAGGAGCATCTTGCTGCTGCTGGGATCACTCAGAACAGAGTACAGATCTTCACAGAACATTGGATAACAAATGCCAAGCCCATTGTTGATAAACTTCGGCAGCAGAATCTTTCAGAAAAGCAGGTGTGTTATCTGAATGATTGGAAGCTGTACAAATGAAATTATGAATGATTTATAAATATCCAAATAAATGAGAGGCATACCTTCCTGTCTCACTGTTAAAGTGACCACAGATCCCCCCAAAAAAGGCCTGACATGTAAATACTGTTCCAGTCCCTACACTTTTGAGTAGGCAATTTGCTCTTTCTGGTACCTAGTCCATAAACAAAAACTTTGCGCAGACAGTGAGTTAGGACACTGATTCAAGATTAGAGTAGTTGTTGTTAAGGAGTTTAATTGTAGATGATCTTTCCACTGTAAACTTTCGATCATCTTTCCACTTTCCATCTTTCCTTGTGGTACTTCTTACAGTGATATACTTCTTGATATACAAGAAGTATATCAACTTCTTGATATACGAAATGTTGTGTTGTTATAACCTTAGTTTGCAAAGTGCTGTATAAACTAATTAAGGAACTGGATGTCTGCTGGAGCCACCTTAGGAGGGGGCCTGATGGCTAAGTGGACAGTGCTCGGGATTCGCAGTCCCAAGGTTTTGGGTTCGATCACCGGTAGAAGCGGAAACAAATGGCCAGAGTTTCCTTTCACCCTGATGCACCTGTTCACCTAGCAGGAAAAAAGGTACCTGGGAGTTACAGGTGCTATGAGCTGCTTCCTGGGGATGTGTAACAGAAAAGAGGCCTGGTCGAGGGCTGGGCTGCAGGGACACTAAGCCCTGAAATTAACTCAAGAAGATAACCTTAATGTAGACACGATATTAACACTTTCGCGCTATCTGGACGCGCCGGCGCGTTCGGTTTCGTCTAACGTAAACGCATAGTGGACATAAAGTTATGTCTACTTTTAAAATATTTGTATAAAATTCAATTTTTATCCGATTTACTTTGGGTTTGTTTCAAACTGCGCGCTATGAGGCTCTCTTTCTCACCACTAGGCTGCATGGTACAATAAGTTCATGAAAGGTGTGGATAACTTCGATCAAATGGTATTTTGTCCCAAACGGGTTGCAGGTGGGTGACTTTAGCCGTTTATACTGGTAATTCTTCCCCCATATCTTGTATTATATGCATATGTCTGTTTAGGGAATTTTATTCCGATCAATATACAACCAAAAATAACTGTGTGCAACAAGTATAATCTTGACAAACATAACAAAAGTAAAAATATTCCGTGTGTGTTTGACGCTCACTGATATGTTCCAGCGTTGTTTTATATTTGTCGCTATTCTAACTTACGCTTTGTTGATATTTTTTACCTATGGGCACATAGAACATTCTATTGCGAACACATTGACATAAAAATGAATGACGTACATAGAAAATTAATGTCATCAGAGTGAAATAAGTATAAACTTTCAAAGCGCCGTGCGTCGTCCCGTCACCGATACCGGGTAACAATTTCACCACTTCCCACACTCTTGCGGGCGAGCTGCATCATTATTCTACGCTTATATTCATATCACCGTGTTGGGAATTTCATTGCGAGTCCATTGATACCAAAATTAACGCTGTAGAACAAGTGTGGAGGTGATTACAATCCCAAGAGTAAAAACATTTTGTTGCTGATGGGCGCTCACGGCGAGTCATCTTAGTAGTTATTTATTTGGTGCTGGTATCCCTATATGTTTCGTGACTTATTTTACTAATGTTCTTCTAGAGAATTTTATTGCGAACACGTTGGTACCAAAATGAAATACGTAGCATGAGAACTAAGGTCAGAAGAGTAAAAAGAGTATACACATTTTTGTTTTGACGCTTAAGCCATAAAAACGCAGCACGCACATTCGGTTGGCTGAGTGACCTTTGCGGAGAGCGCGAAAGTGTTAACTGCTCAAAAGCAACTAGATGATTTGAGTTTTTAAATTAGTGTCACTATGTTACATTCCAAAGTTATATTCCAATGTACAGTACATAACAAGTATTCATTTTGCCCAAATATTGAAAATGTCGGATACAGTTCTGTACTCTGGTTGAGTTCATCCATTTATGTTTAACTCAGATTTTGAAATATTATTATATATTTTTATTTAAGAAATGTTTATACTCGATAGCTGGAAGATGTTGCTTGGGAATTGCATCTAGAAACGGCATCATCGAATTTGGCTCGACAGTCACGCCCCATAGCACACTTACAGCTGAATCTGAGGTATGTATTGTATGGTGCAATTTTATTGTCTCAAGTCATGCTGCAATTTCCAAAATGTCTCACAATTCTCTTGAATTTACAGCTTATTGCTAAGTTCTTATAATTTAATTCTGTAAGGCACTTCAGTTAAGCTGATGAGTAATATTATATTTGAAAAATAAGGTGTAGAACAGTGGTTCTTAACTGGGGGGACGTCCATACCCACTGGGGGTAGGGGGGACTTAATCCCTGAATATAAAAAATAAATAAATAAAAAATGGGGGTGTTCAGATTTCTGGTGCACCCCCTATTTGGGCTTCTGTATTCAATCATGGAAACCACACCTTCAAAAAGAGACATCTGCTTTAGAGAAAGTACAACACAGGGTGACAGAAATACCAGGAATGGCCAAGGGCCACAGGATTAACAACACTGCAAACCAGACATGACAGGGCTGATCTCAAGATTTTTAAAATACTGAACAAGTTGGAAGGTATTAATCCAGTGCATTTCTTTAAAAGGTCAAGTGTAATGCATATGAGAGGCAACAGCTTCAAGCTCAACATGCCACAATGTAGAACAGAAAACAAGAGATGCTTCTTCACCCATTGGGTTATAAACCCCCATGGGACTGCCAACCTGATGAAGCATTAAATGCCTAAACATTACTTAAGTTCAAAATCCAGTTGGAAAAAATCCGCAGTTAAAAGCTCTGTACCTCAGGGTACAGTCCTTGCACCACTGCTTTTCCTTATTCTCATATCAGATATGTATAGACAAAAATACAAGTCACAGCTTCGTATCATCTTTTGCAGATGACAAAATTCAGCATGAAAATTAGCTATACTAAAGACATTGAAAAACTTCAAACAGGTATTAATTAATAAAGTTTTTGACTGGGCAACAGAAAATAACATGATGTTTAACAGTGATAAATTCCAGGTATTCAGGTACGGTAAAAATGAGGACCTTAAACATAATACAGGGTATGAAACACAATCAAATGTGCCCATAGTAGGAAAGCAGCATGTAAAGGATTTGGAAATAATGATGTCTGATGACCTAACGTTTAGGGAGCATAACCAAGCAAATATTGCGTCAGCCAGAAAAATGATCGGATGGATTACGAGAATTTTCAAATCCAGGGATCCCATCACTATGGTTGCACTATATAAATCACTTGCACTGTCCCATCTTGAGTACTTCTCAGTACTCACTCCCCCCTTGAGAGCAGGAGAGAATGCTGAAATAGAAGGAATACAGAGAACATATACAGCATACATAGACGCAATAAAGCACCTAAATTATTGGGATCGTCTCAAAGCTCTCCAAATTTACTCACAAGAAAGAAGACGAGAGAGATATCAAGTAATATACACATGGAAGATACTGGAGGGCCAGGTACCAAATCTACACAGTAAAATAACAACATACTGGGGTGAATGATATGGAAGAAAATGCAGAATGGAACAAGTGAAGAGCAGGGGTGCCATAGACACAATCAGAGAACACTGTATGAACATCAGAGGTCCACGGTTGTTCAACATCCTCCCAGCGAGCATAAGAAATATTGCTGGAACAACCATGGACGTCTTCAGGAGAAAACTAGATAATTTTCTCCAAGGAGTGCCAGATCAACCGGGCTGTGGTGGATACGTGGGCCTGCAGGCTACTGCAAGCAACAGCCTAGTGGACCAAACTCACAAGTCAAGCCTGGCCTCATCAGACCGGGCTTGGAGTAGAAGAACTCCCAGAACCCCATCAAGCAGGAACAATGGGTGGGGAACCTTTAACAAGGTGTCAGCTTTCTGTCCTATTAGAGCCCACTGGGTAAATTAAAGTAAATTACCTGGGCTGAAGAATGAATCCTGACAAGGCTACACGGAAGAGATGATGTGATTGTGAAGAACATCACCACCAGGCATTCGAAGGGAGTTGTCGTTCGACCAGCAGCCCAAGGTCACACCCACCAATGTAGAGGAGGCATTTACCTGGAGGAGAAATGTGTGAAATGGTTCTGACAAATTCCCCCCGCCCCTCCTCCCCTTATTTTTCTTGATCACAAAAAAACATGTCTACAGCACATGGAAAAGTAGGACACTGGAAAGGAGGAGCCAAGCATTAACGGAATTGGTCCACACAGTAAAATTGTCCACAGCACTGGAATAACCCCAGGCAACACACCCCACATGGGTGTCAACCACCAACTGATCACAGGAAAGAGTGCTCAATCCAAGGATATAAAATCCGAGTGCATCCAAAGCTTGCACAGCCCAGTTAATAGTATGCCTGATGAATAATAGACAGAAAGGAAGGGCCATTGAACAACCAGGCACAAGCCCTGTATTGTATGCAAAGATGAATTTGCATTCATCTTTGATGAATGCAAATGATGGTCGGTCGGTGTCATGGTTGGTCAGTCATGGTTGAATGATCAGTCGATCGGTCATAGTCGGTCGGTTGATCAGTCATAGTCAGTCATGGTCAGTGTGTGGGGCCCGCTGCCGGGGCCCTAGACGGTCGTCTGGTTGAACCCACACACATGTGAAGTAATAATTCCTCTTAAACAGTGGTAGATGGTTGGGACAAGTTAGGTGAGAAAGTGATGGAGGCCAAAATCGTCAATAATTTCAACGTGTTATATGAGAGTGCTGGGAAGACAGGACACCACAAGCATAGCTCTCATCCTGTAACTACACTTAGGTAATTACACAGGAAGAAGCCATCCTTGAACACACCTTGCAGGTCAAACAGGCACATCATGGGCTACCATCTAGTGGCAGTTGGTGTAGCAGCTACTGTAGGTGCACACCAACAGTTAGCAGAGAGGGAATTGATTTTCCTTGAGATTTCAATGATCATTTGCCAGAGGTGTCAAGTGTACCGATTTGTTCTTTTGTATGATAGTGAGCAGTCACTAGGATGATTGAGATACATACATATAGATGTCACAGACGTGACATCTATATAGTCTGTATATAAAAACCTGGCCGGATGCGAATGGAACTTTGTGTGAAACTTTCAAAGCAATCGGTCAAGAACTTTCGGAGATTAGCGATTTTGAACAAACAAACATTTCTATTTTTATATATATATATATATATAAATATACATATACAGTATATATATATATATATATATATATATATATATATATATATATATATATATATATATATATATATAATCTATAAATATATATATATATAATCTATAAATTTATTTATTCACACATACTAATACATATACATGTACATATATACATACACATTATTACATAGATATAATTTTTTTTATGCCACAGCTCCGGTACTGATGCAAGTAAGCTAGAAGCAGAAAAAGTGAGCCTGCAGTTTGATCACGACCAGCTGTACCAGCTCTATGACCAGCTGGAGCAAATACAGTCTCATCTTGATGCACTGAGATAAAATTGGACAGTAATAGAAGAAATAACTTACGGGTTAGTGTGTATAGAATCCATATAAGTGTGTCAGTATTGATTTCTTTCATGTGCAGTGCCATATTTTACTGGATCAAAAATCACTTTATTTTCTGTGGGAAACCTCAGAAGCTCCCTGAAGTTATCCATACTAATATAGTGCTATATTAGTTGGGGTCATCAGTCAGAGTTTTTGATGCCTAGCAAGGACCAGAGTCAGAACCTGCCCCCCCCCCCTCAGAGAGGTACAGGGAGCAATGGCCTATAAATACTTTACATTTAAAGTATACAGTATCATATTTGCCATTGACCAGGTAAGGCACCCCAGAAAGGCAGGCAAAACAAAACAGACCACTGTCTAGTGGAAAATTAAGTTCCATGTCCTCCAAATAGCAAAAGAACTCCCCCAGAAAGAAAACAAATAAGCAACAATTTGTTCTACTAACCCCCTACTCATTAGCGTAATACCATTTTCTGGGTGAGACTTGGAAGCTTCCTGGCACCCCTCCCTCCGGTCAGTGTTTTTCAGTGTTTTTGATATCCAGCCTCAGAACTATGGTTTGGGTAGCCGGAGTGAAGGGTCTGGGGCTTCCCCTTTTCCCCTCCCTGGAAGGGGGGTTGCTACGCAGACGGAGGCGCGGTGACGTCATGCTCGTTTGCTCATTTTTGTTTGGGGAGTTTTGTCCACTAGTTCGGCTTTCAGTAGCAATTTCTTAACCAGAATAGGGATTTGTTTTGGGGCGCTTACCTTTCTAGGTGAAATAGGGATTTGTTTTGGGGCGCTTACCTTTCTGGGTGCCTGACATGGTCGATGGCAGACATAGAATGCTTCCAACCACATGGGGGTTTCTATAGGCCATTACTCCTCGTGCCTCTCTGAGAGGGGCCAGGTTCTAGCTAAAGGTCCCCAGTAGGCCTAAGAACTCCATTCACATGACTGATGCCAAAGTCTAATATAGCAATAACAGCTTGGATTGCTCTGGGGAGCCGCAGGGTTTCACTCGGAAAATAGCGTTTTGTTACATTCAACGCTGGTTTTTTATGGCATAGCATAGAGGTCAACTTTTGTGGCCAGTATTTTTACTGTCCTCAGGCTGGGCTCGGGGAGTGGCAGAATCCTCTCCAGGTATACTGTAAACACGGTGAAATTTAGCTTCAAGAGTTTCCAGTGGTGAAATTATGTACAGTATATTAATAGCCTGTGTGTAACATCATTACCAAGAAAAATTTGAAATAAAGAACTCTTTCAAATCTTGGCTGCTTTAATTGGCTTGAGGGTGAACTTAATACAGTATCTCTCTTTCTACACCAGTGAGAGAGATTCCGAGTTCATATACAATCGTTTTCAGCTAGTTATGGTGTGTTGTAGGTTTGGGATACTTTTCTATGGCTTTCAGCACTCAAATTATCAGGGACTATGGACCATTCAAGAATTCAGGGCCATTTTATCAAAAAATGGTCCATAACTCTTGCCTGACCAAGGACCCAACTTATCCTTAATACAGTCAGTCATGCATAGCTCTAATGCATCTGTCTTCAAAACTTTGCTGTCATATTAGCTAAATGTTAAACCATCATGACTGGTGCATATGACTAGATGGATCAAGTTGGTTTGGTTCCCATTGTCAGAAACAGGAAGCCTTGTTAAACTTTCCAGGAGGCTCCTTTTGGCCATTGACCCACTCTTGGCAGAATGTGACCCCACAGCAGTTTAATACAAGGACCCTAGATACTGCTAGGTGAACAGGTGAATCAGATGTAAGGAAACTTGTGCAATTATCTCGTACTGTGTGGTAGTTGAACCTATAATAATTCAGTTGTAAGCTGACTTTGCTGACTACTTGCTATAAGAATTTTGGCCTTGGCTTTGCAAACTGTTATTAATTTTGGGGGATCTTGCGTTCATCAGTCAAGTTTAATTATTATTAAAATAAATGGTTAAAAAATTACTTGGTTTCATACTGTATACTTTATTCATAGTGAGGAAGGCTGTACATACCATAGACAATACTGAGGACATAACTCATGGTGGAGATGTTTGACCCAAAACAAAACTATATACCAAGAGGAGCAACCATGCCACATATGAAAATATAAATAATACAAAAATAAAAGTTTCTGACCTATTACCAGCTAGGTTTTAGGCCACTTATACTATAATCATGTAAACATCCAATTTTGGCCACAGTCCTGTTCACCGACTGAAAACTAATACATTTAATTTCCTATATACATTTTAGTGAATATTCTTCAATAAGAACTAGATTTTCAACTCAAAATATTTATTATTTTCAGATTTTACTCTAAACACCAACTTCTCAAAGTGATTGCATCCATATTTAAGAAATATAGTATGGTTAACCAAAGTTTCTTTATTAAATCTTTTGGAGCATATTTTTATTAGTTTACATTCTAATTGTAATATCTTTGGTGTCAAGCTTTAAATATTCTAGTCATTAAATCCTAACAATGAATTTTACCATGTCTAAAACCAGACGACCCACCAAAAAAGCATGCATACACACACACACGCGCACATCCAACTCGAAAATAAATACCCGCCATAATATAAGATTGCATTACCAGTAAAAAAAAAAATGCATTAGTATGTTTTACAAAAATAGTACATTCCTTTAATCTTAATTACCCCCTGCAACAGTTTATGCAATTGAGAAAAAGTTCACAAGTTTCTAGATTCTTAGCAACATTATATTTGGTTATATTCTAAATTTTATTTGAAATTTATTTAATGTATGTTGAACTAAATTAGTAATCTTTGCTTAATAAATTCTAGTTGAAATAGCTAATGACTTCCAATACATTTTCAATACATTTCAGCTACCAGTTGTTGTCACTGAAAGCATTGGTTTTATACAGAAAAAAAAACAGAATACAGAAGAAAGCAAATGTTAGAGCAAATATCCAGCCACTGCATGTGTAGCTGTGGTTCCTTGGAACTGATACAATGTTAAAAATATGGTCTTTAGGAACTGTCTATAGTGGTATATTTAAATTAAATTACAGTATCTTAAAAGAGTACTGCAAAAATCTGTCTATCTCCAAATGATTTATAAAGACTTGTCGACCAATGTTTTAATTAAAGTCTTCTTATAAGGTATCCTCAGTGTAAATAAAAAAAATAAATAAAAAATTACGTGTTTTTCTATATGCATGGTGAAAATATTTAATATTATAAATTAAAAGCCTTAATTGACACCCTCCATAGTTTTCCATATAAGGCTCATTTATTTTAAACACACCTTTAAAGTGATATGCCCAAGTTCCAAATGCTTTTTTTCTTCCAGTAACTAACAATTATGCTTATAAAAACATTGTGTAACTCTCCATTATACTGAAATTTATAGCATTTGTAAAGCTACGTACATAAGTCTTGGGCAAAAATTCCCCGACTAATGCTATCTAAAAGGATATAGTTCAATCTAGCAAAAAGATATCTGTCTATGAATGTGTATGATAATAATCATGTTTCTCTTGAAAAAATAAGTTACTGCAGGACCGAACACCAACTTCAACAATGACTTACACATTTTGATGTGTCCATTAAGTTTGAATTTAGTGAAGTATTATTAGGAATGATGTTGCTCGCCTGATTGTAGGAAAAACATTACAATGTTGTTTATGCCCAAAGGAATATTGATCACTGCAAGAGGAATACACTACAGTATTTGTTAATATCCACTTACCTGATTGAGCAAGTATGCACCAAAATTCCTTTGTTTAAAACAAAGATTTACTTTGCCCTAGGCAAGCCGTCAACCATTGATGAAGTAATTTGGATTTCTAAGCTTTTATTAATTGAATTATATTAAAATTTCAAGGAGTAATGTACAATAATTTTGCTTCTAACTCTCTATTCCATACATTACTCCTAAATCAGGCCCCACACTAGAGCAAAACGTTGACGAAGAAAGCCTCGCCTCGCCGAGTGTCAGTCTGTTTATCAACAGATTTCCTTTAAGATATGTAGAACTTATTCAGCATTTCTAACATAAAATTTTGCTTTAATATCTCAGTTAAGGTATTGCTGAAAAAATCATAGTACTGTACTGTACAGTACAGAAGTGCAGAAAATAAGTGACAACGGCACTTCTAAGCACAAGGACACTTGGTGCCCATCAGTTCAGTACACAGGCCAAAGAATAGGATACAATATTCTCTAGATCAGGTTTATTTCACTATGTGAAAGTGCATAAATAGTACTTATGGACTGGGCTTTTGAAAGTCTTAATATTCTATGCATGGGATGATATGAAGTATGAAACAAAATTACAATCTATAATTCACTACATCCATATAAATTTATGAACCAGGAATATTGGCTATTGAATTAATATCGGTTTACAGTAGTTGGGATATGGCAAAAACTGATGGTAGTGTCAAGTTTCTAAAATTTAGCTCGAGGCTGTCTTAATTTCTAAACAGTAAGGCAAATATTTTTCCCCATAGCAAATGTATCCTCAGCCAATCTAATGATTAAAACCAAGGGTAATGTTACATCACTGATGGAATGAAAGAAATAATATAAAGTAGCAAGATAGCCAAGGTCATTTCTATATGTGAAAGCAATGCAGAAGCAAGGCAAAGTGTTGCATATGCACAATATAAAGGTCTTTGAAAAGGTGTCAACAAAAATTTTAATTGGGTTGCATTTTACAGGACAAGGACTTTCCAATTACAAACACTAAATACAAAAATACTCTACTTAAGTTACATATGTATACATGTATACTATACAGATATATTGTTTTTTATCCAATGTTAAAAATCATTTACTTATCAATCATTTATAATTACAGAGGAGCATTATAAATTTTACTTCATATTAATATTTCTACAGTACAGTAAAAAACTAACAACTTATTCTGAAATGTTGAAACAAAATACAGTGCTGAATTAATAAATTGCAAGATGCTCAACTTTCATTGTCAAATAATAACTGACTTGAGAAATGCACAACAGTAATGGATATCCCAATTATTTATTCATAACCCACAGTAATTAATATAAATACTTTGTTAATAATAACACACATTTCTCAAAAGTCCACACTATAATATCTAATGAAACAGACCTTATCCCACTGCAAATTACAGATTATTTAAGAGCTGCGCTGGCTGCTTGTCATATGAAATTACTGCTGTATTTTCTCAGAAAATAAGAGCAGTAACATATCTTCAAAATGCTCTTTAAATGATAGGATAAACAAATTATTAAAGCACACTTGACAAATATTTAACGCAGTCATAAAGATGCATGAACAAGGCTACTGAAATGCAAGTTTGTGAGGTATTTGCAAAGTCACACTGAAAAATGCGAACGTTTTAAATTCAAACAAACTAGATTCTGAATTAGATAAGAGAGTTCTCAAATGACAAAACTAAAGTTGACAAAAACATAAATGTTGTACATAAAGAAATGAGAGAGAGGTTATCATGGGAAGATATGGGGAATGATTGTTATGACGATCATGTTTCGTCCATTAATCGAGGTTGATTGCCGTGTTTGAGCAAACTGCTACATAATCAGGGACGGATCCTGAGGGTTTAATATATAAAGAAAAGCTTTCACCAAAACCAGGTGTATGTCTTGCTAAACTGTTCAAAGCAGATATTTTACAGTAAAATACCATCACCACCTTTCAATACCAATATTTTTTTTCTTTTTAAAGGACCTCCACATTTTGTTCACACATGACACTTGAATGGCTATTCATTAGCCATATTCTTGAACAAATACAAGGTTCTCAATTGTCACTCTTCTGAGCATAGAGTACTGTAAACAAACAGCATAATCAATGAAGTTTACATTGATTAAGTTACATGGTAACTTGAGTTAACAGAACAATCATTGGAGAAACAGTACTAAGTAATTGCAACCCTTTGGCTGTGAAACAAATTTTTTTAGATTATTCCTACTGAGTGCCAAAATGCACCCATAAAAGGACATTTTGAAGTCTTGGCTTTAAAAATCCCAATAAAAATTATAAACAAGTGTCATAAACAAGCAAGTTTGAAGGAAGCATAATTGCAATTGTGGTGTTACTGTATCACAAAAGGTGATATTTGAGTCTGCTACCAACCAGAATATAGGGTCCTGTATTGAAGGTCAGAGGACCTGTCATTCAATACATGATTTGGAAATGTTCTTCTATGCCCATAAGTTTGGTTATGACTGTCTAATTCCATTTCTCAGGAGTCATCCGCTATCCCCCAGCATACCCAGAGGTTAAATGTCAATTTTTATCTTTTGCCCTTTGTAATGAAAAATACAGTTGAGCTTGCAAACACTATGCATATTATAATTATGTAATTACATTGATCACATTGTTAAAATTAAATTGTTCACTTGTCAAATACTCAATGGGTCACATGAAAATACTAAAAATTTTAAACTTGTACAGTATCAGTACTGTACTGGTAAAGTATTTTGTCATAAATCTAGTTCAGTAATACAGTATTAATTACAGTCAATACACCTATCATTAATGTCAAAAAAAAAGAGAAGTAAATTATTTGAATATCTGCTGTATACATTTCCACAACCACATTCTGGATCCGCCCCAGATATTGCTCATATACAGTAGTTACGTAGCTGTTACCTTAACCACAGTGGGCAGAGTCAAGAGCCCTTCAAAAATGTTAAGAGGAAAAATGGATGATTTGTTATTTAGATGGAGAATTACATATGTCAAAAATAATGGCCATGTATCCAAATGACATTCTGCATATCATAAATCAGACATACAAAAATACATTATGTGACAGGCCTAGAAGCAGGAAGGACAATTAAATTATGTTTTCCATAAGTGCACAAGTATCATCACAAGAGATGTTTTATAGAGAAATTAATGTAAATCTCCTGGAAGATAAGGAAATGCTACAAAGTTACCAATACTAGAAGTGCTGTGGCTCTTGACTCCTACAGCTGTTGTGGAGGTAGTAGCTGGGTTACATCATTCTTCCAAACCTACTAATGTATATTATGATTTACCTATGGACACACACATTCTCAATACTCTGATAAACTTTGTCTTTATACAAAATAATTACAGACACATTTCATCATTATTTATAATAAATACTTGAAATTCCACAACTCTCACATGTCTTTCACCATGTGCAGGAGGCCCGGGTCCTCCAGTATGAAGGGTAAGGGGTCTCCCAAAGCCAATTCAATGTTGGTAAATACCAACATACTTGTTATGTTCTTCCACCACCTCCATCTGTATCATGTCCACTCTGGCCATTGCTGGGTGTTGGATCAGAAATTCCAAAGGCTGCAAGTTCTGGCAGAAGTGGCAGAGGTCGAGCAGGCCAGTACCTAACAGCTTTCATGCTCTCAGCCTCTCGTTGAAGTGTTTGTAAACGTTTTAGTAATGGCCATACATGCTGTTCCAACCACTCGCCTACTGTCCAGTCATCATACCATTCAGCCAGGGCTTCACGAGCTGTTTTCATGAGAAGTGTTACTGCATGAAGTCGTGCTGGTAATTCTTCAAGATCTTCGTCTACTCTCATTGGCGATGAGTAGTTGTGACGGCGGTTGTAGTCTGTGATCCATGCACGGCTCCTTGTTACACGCTCAATGTAGGAGTCAACATCTCGTCTTGTAGCATCAAGGCGTGCTGTCACTTTAAAAACCTGGGCACCAGGGAAGAAGCACCAAGAAAATTTATCCCAGAGGTATGGATCACCATCTAAATTTAGCCATGTTTGATACTTTGGAGTCTGCATGCAATTAAGAGCTTGATAAAGTTGTCCCTGAGCAGAAGAATTAAAATAGCCATGGGAAACTGCAATTAGATTGACTGCAAGTGATGGAAGGGATGCTGGAAGCAGTTCACACAGGACAGCAAAGTGGTCATAACGCTGCCATCCTGTGAGAACAATGCCACGAAAACCAGCTGTAAATTTACTTGCCTCACTAGCCATGACATCCAACCAGTTAAGGTTGTTATCTAAATGTCTACGGACATTAGGCACTGTCAACTGTTCACCAAATGCACCCTTAAAAGCAGAAGCAGCCCATACACGAGAAAACACTTGGCTATATTTGGTCCATACAGATGGCTGAACAAACCTATACACATCTTCTGCATACACCCATACCATTGGCTCTACCAGTTCACCCAAGTGAGCCTCTTGCATGGCAGATTCTGAAACATGGCGCAACATATCATCCCATATCAGAGGTATTGCAGCATACTTCTTACGAACATATTTTGCCACAGCTTCAACATGTTGTAGAAACAGTGTTTCTCTCAATACCAAGCGACACTTCTCACACTCTCCTATCTGGTACACCTCATCGCAGCCAATATGTAGGTAACGAGCACCTGGGTGAAGTGACATTACCTGGTCCACCATGGAGTGAACCAACCACAGTGATTCATTCAGAGATGGGCACAGAGCTTGTGGAAGTTCAGGAACTTCACGTAGATGTGAGAAACGCTCATGTTTGAGGGCAAACTCCAAGTGGCCAAAGGTCTGGACAAGAGGAATAACTTCTAACCCATGATTGCGACAGGCTGTTACCAAGTTTGCAATTTGTTTCCTAGAATAGTGATTTTTAGCAGCAACTTGTGCTAGCCGGCCCCGCCATGGAAACATATCCTCATATTCCAATAACACTGCTGTAGCTCCTTGCCCGGCTATCCATGGTAGTAGTTGCATTACAGCTGACATCTTGGGAGGAGCACCCTTCAAATCAAAATGCACAACACGGTGGGGTGGTATATAAATGGGTCGATCTGTTCGCCCATAAACTGGCTCACCATAGGGATTATAGCGATACTGACCTCCACCCCAGGAACCACCAGGTGGTGGGTCTTGCTGGGGTAACATAACCGCTCCTGGTACTGCTGCTGCTTGCTGGTCTTGTGCCTTACGTTCTGCAACTCTCCGTTGGAGGACTTCAACTGCTAGACGGTGTTGTGCTTGAGCAGGATCTGAAGGTATGGCTTCTTCATTAATTACATTTTCATTTTGGTGTGTCCAATCTTCACGCTGATGTTCAACCCGATTGTCCTGTTCTTCCTGATGGCGTGGCCACTCACCTGGTTGCTGGGCATCACTGCCCGTTACAAATTTTACATGTTGTACGTGAGCACTGTCAGCCGAGCCTTGACCATGGCCGTCTCTTTCATGAGAAGTGTAAAGTGTGTTTAATGCACGGTGTCTTGGAGCTGAAGGGTGATCCAGTGGTCCCCCAGGAGCATACTGCAGGTAAACCACGCCTACAGTTACCAAAACACATGCTGCCCACACCACCTGTTTCCTTGACCGCCAAGCTCCCACTCCAGCACGCCCAAACCAGGCACGCAACACCTCCATACTAGATCGAACACACAGTGATGCCCAAGAGTGTTTGGGCAGATAAGTCTCCCCAGATGTCCAGTATCTGGCCTCAGAACCTGCAATAGGTAAACAGTGTCAGGGTATGGAATATTTAGCCTAAAAATACATTGTACAAGTATTTAAAGTACTTACCAAATTTAATTTTATATTAAAATTTTCTCAAAAGATGTAAAAAACACATTTATTGGTTTTTAGGTTATTTTCTAATAAACTGTTTTAATTTTAATCTACTCAACATTTATATGCAAAGTTTTCACATTCTACATTAAATATCAAGGCATGGTGATGGAGTGAAGACACGAAGAGTGAAGAACACCAGATGTGGTAGAGAACAATAACAGGTGGCATTCTTTTGTGATGGGGATTAAATATTGTGTGTACACTACATGACAACTCATAAGCAATATACAATACATAGTTTTATGAAATGGTAGAAAATTTATGTGGGCAATTTGCTCTAGAATGGTGTTACTAGTTCTCCATGAAGTTATACAGTGTTCATTCATTCATTCTTTGTTCAAACTCCAGTTTTCTAAACATATACCGAATTGGCAAAACTTCAGGTAAAGTTCAGATGTATTTGAAAGTTAAACAAATTGTTTGTGCGCATAAGCATTAAACTCGGTTTCCTGGGACAAAATCTTGTAAAAATATGCTCAAACACAACTGAATTAAAGCAATACCTGTACATATATGACCCTTGCTGAACACAGTTTTTCTCCAACATGTTGATACGAAGGTGACTATGAGTGACACATTATTTGCCCAATGCCATATAAATTATCATGCACACAAATTAGTGCATAGCTGCCAGCCTGGGGTCTACCTGGAGTCAGTTTTGAGAGTTCCACTTCCCAGGCAAAGCCTGTTTTGTGATAAATTTAAAAAGCTGTTGCTTAGAGCAACCCATAGACCCACATATCCATTATGGCACGGTTAGTCTGGAACTTCCTGCAGGAACTTGTCCAAATGTCTCTTGAACACTTCCACTTGTGTTCCGACAATATTTCTTGTACTGTACTTGGTGGGAGGAGATTGAAGAGCCGTGGACCTCTGCTGTTCATACAATGTTTCTTGATTGTCCCGATGGCACCCCTACTCTTCACTTAGTAAGTTGTTATATTGTTGTGAATATTTGGGATCTGTCCTTTCCATATCTTCCATATGGATAGTGCATTGTCTAACTTAAGTACTTTTTCCCTTAAAACTGTTTAAAAACAAAACCCCATCAAGTAACTTTTATATGACAATGAAGCAAAGTTTAGAAATAAGTGATAAAATGGTGAAGAAATAGGATAAAGAGGATGACATTAGCTGAGAAAAAAAAAAAAAAGAGTAATTCTAGAACTCTGTGAAAGCATTAATGAATTAATCCTTGCATGAAAATATGGAATTATCAAATCCCCAATTTGTGTCAAGTGCCTTGACAATAATGCCATTTCACAGGCAGGAAAATTACTTAATTCCTGGCTTTACTGCAAAGTCAATAAACTTCATGAATACGTCTGCATGAATGATTTTAGCACTGCTGTTGCTGCTAGTGATTTTCAGGTCAACAAATCATATTGTACTGTACTTAGAAAACTTTTATCAGGATATTTAATCTGAATAATGTTAAGTTGCATGGAGAAGCTATGTCAGCAGACCATGTTGCTACTACTACCTTTAACTCATAATTCCTAGAAGTGATCGGGGGTATGTTGGTAATCAATCAAGCCGGGTCAAATACAGCAGAACCATAATGCTCATCCCTATTCAGAGGTGCAATAGGTACTCTGAGATAGAACTATCAACATTAGAGACCCGAGACTGTTCAACACATAAGGGGCATAACTGGCCGACCCTCACGGTGTTCAAGAAAGAACTCGATAAACACCTCCAAAGGATACCCAATCAACCAGGATGTGATTCATACAGATATAACTGATATCAACACAAGCATGGCAGATTTTGAAAAAGAAATTGACAACATGTCCATGCTCTCGTCTCTGGGTCCAGATTCATGGAATTCAATATTTATAAAGAAATGCAAGATGCCAGTAGCACAAACACACAGTATAGTGTGGGAGAAAGAGCTTAGACATGGGGGAGACACCAGATGCACTTAAATAAGCAGACATAGCCCCTCTACACAAGGGAGGGAGCAAAGCATTGGCAAAGAATTATAGACCAGTTGCACTAACATCCCTAATAAAAGTATTTGAAAGAGTGATCAGGAGTCAGGTCACCTGTTTCATAGAGACCAATGACCTTCACAACCCAGGCCAACATAGATTTAGAGCGGGAAGATCGATTTACAGCTACTTGACCACTATGATAAGGTCAATGAGGCATTAGAAGAAAAACAGAATGCAGATGTGGTATACACAAACTTCGCAAAAGCATTCGATAAATGTGACCATGGAGTGATAGCACACAAAATGAGGTCAATGGGGATAACTGGTAAAGCAGGATGGTGGGTACTCAGTTTTCTGTCGAACAGAACACAAAAGAGAAACAGTCAATCATATAAATTTGAGTCCAAGCACAGTTTAAAGCTCTGTACCTCAAGGTACAGTCCTTGCACCACTGCTATTCCTTATTCTCATATCAGATATAGACACAAACACAAGTCACAGCTTCATATCATCTTTTGAAGATGACACAAAAATCAGCACGAAAATTACTTCTGACGAAGACATTGAAAAACTATAAGCAGATATTAATCAAGTTTTCAACTGGGCAACAAAAAATAACATGATGTTTAATGATGATAAATTTCCAAGTGCTCAGGTATGGTAAAAATGAGGAACTTAAACATAATACAGGGTACAAAACTCAATCAAATCTTCCCATAGTAGGAAAGCAACATGTAAAGGATTTGGGATTAATGATGTCTGACGACCTAGCATTTAGGGAGCATAACCAAGCAAATAATGAACCAGTCAGAAAAATGATAGGATGGATTACGAGAACGTTCAAATCCAGGGACCCCATCACAATGGTTTTACTATTCAAATTACTTGTACTGTCCTGTCTGGAGTACTGCTCAGTCCTCATTTCCCCCTTCAGAGCAGGAGAGACTGCTGAAATAGAGGGCGTACAGAGAATATATATGGCATACACAGACGTGATAAAGCACCTAAATTATTGGGATCGTCTCAAAGCTCTCTAAATGTACTTACTAGAAAGGAGACGAGAGAGAAATCAAATAATGTACACGTGGAAAATACTGGAGGGCCAGGTTCCAAATCTATACAGTAAAGTAACAACATAACAACAACCGTGGCCATCTTCAAGAGGAAACTAGATTGTTTCCTCCAAGGAGTGCCGGACCAACCGGGCTGTGGTGGGTATGTGGGCCTGCGGGCCGCTCTAAGCAACAGCCTAGTGGACCAAACTCTCACAAGTCAAGTCTGGCCCCGGGCCGGGCTTGGGGAGTAGAAGAACTCCCAGAACCCCATCAATCAACCAGGTATACTGGAGTGAGCGATATGGAAGAAAATGCAGAATAGTGCCAGTAAAGAGCAGGGGTTCCATAGGCACAATCAGAGAACACAGTATGAACATCAGAGATCCATGATTGTTCAACATCCTCCCAGTGATTTAAACGATTCTTCGCGGCAGGGGATCGTATTCCAGGGACCATAGGATTAAGGACTTGCCCGAAACGCTACGCGTACTAGTGGCTGTACAAGAATGTAACAACTCTTGTATATATCACAAAAAAAAAAAAAAAAAAAAAAAAAAAAAAAAAAAAAAAAAAAAAAATGCCATAACTGTGGATATCTTCAAGAGAAAATTAGATAATTTTCTTCACAAAGTGCTGGACCAACCAGGCTGCGGTAGATATGGTGGCCTGTGGACTGCTCCAAGCAACAGCCTGTTGGACCAAGCTCTCACAAGTCAAGCCTGGCCGTGGGCTAGGCTTGGGGAGTAGAAAAACTCCTTGAACCTCATCAAGCAGGTATAGCAGGCTGTGAGCAGCCACGTCCAACAGCCTGGTTGACCAGATCATCAATCAGGAGGCCTGGTTGATAACAGCCTGGTCAGAGACCAGGCTGCAAGGACCTTGAACCCTGGAACCACTGCAAAGTAACCCTCAAGGTAACCTAGGATATCCATGGAGTCCACAGGGATGTAATACAGTCTGCTTCTTATATTATGGCCAAAAAGGAAGACTTCAAAAGGCATGCAACTTCCCTCTATGCTGAAGCACACAAGGGGTGCAGTGTACTGCAATATTTTTCTGGGAGGAAATCCCTTTGGTGATTTCCTGGAGCTAGCCACCATGATAGCTCAACACGCATCATGCCCTGCCAGGCCCTGCAAGTCAAATGCCTACTAGAGACCAAAGATAAACAAAATCTGGTCCACTAAAAGAAGCACAGGGAACTGAGCATGCTAGATCAACCCAGACTAATATTGAAATGTAACCAGAAAGGTAGAGCGCTCCAAAGCACAACTGTAATGAAAATAACAGCAAGCCTGGTGAAAAGGAACACAGTAGTTAGGTCATTACCACTGCTTGTTACACTCCTACCACCAGGTGGAGGATTTGAAAGCTCATAGTCCGCCCAGTGACACTGAATGAATCGCATGCCTGATGTGGGCCCATCCACCCCTATATCAGCATTGTTACCACGAATGGAAATTGGTGTTGGCTATCCTTTGGACTCTCCTGCAGGGGCCTGTACCAATATTTGTTCCATACTTTAGTGTTAGCTTCATGTGAGTAATATTATATAAGCCTCACTGTTAAGTGGTCCTTGAGTTTTTTGTTCACCTCAAGCTGCATGTTTAGGGATGCTTTCCCTATGTGCTTACTGGGAAAATTCAATCCCCTGCCTGACTAATGTTACTTTCCTTGGGGGGTTTGGGGGTTCTGTTCCTTTGAGAGCACTTCTTTCAAAGTGTCTGCTTCTGATTAGTGCATGTGCCTTTTACTCCTCTGAGACTAAGGTTGGGGTAAACAGGATTCAACTTTGTCTCAGGGTGCACGAGGGCTTACATGCTAGACTTGCTGAATGTCATTTACACCCTCGGATGCATTTTTCTTAAAACTGGGTTTGGTATT